ATGGGGAAACCAGACTGTCCTATGGGCACTGCATCAGCCTCACATCCGATCTCATCCCAAAGAGCTGGAGAGGCTCCGCAGCCTCCTGGAAGCTGCCTGCAGCCCGGGGTTAGAGCAGGGATGGATGGGCAGAGCATCCTTCCAGCACCATAGGAGGCAGGATAATGGGCAGGGAACCCTGCGGGGTAAGACGATGGGCAAGGCACCGTGCCTGGATACTGGAGGGTGTGAAACACGCAGGGCGCCCTGGAGGAGCGGATGACAGGGAGGACGCCCTGCCTGCATCCTGGATGGTAGAAAGACGGGAAGGGCATCCTGCCTGCACCCTGGATGGGCAGGATAACGGGCAGGACACCGGGAAGGACAGGATAACGGGCAGGACAGCCGAGAAGGGCAGGATAACGGGCAGGACACCGGGAAGGGCATGATAACGGTCAGGACACAGGGCAGGACAGGATAACGGGCAGGACAGCCGAGAAGGGCAGGATAACGGGCAGGATAATGGGCAGGGCAGAATAACGGGCAGGACACCCGGGAAGTGCAGAATAACGGGCAGGATAACGGGCAGGACACCCGGGTAGGACAGGATAATGGGCAGGACACCGGGAAGGGCTGGATAATGAGCAGGACATCAGGAAGCGCAGGATAACGGGCAGGACACCGGGCAGGGCAGGATAACGGGCAGGACACGATAACGGGCAGGATAACGGGCAGGGCAGGATAATGGGCAGAACACGATAACGGGCAGGACAGGATAACGGTCAGGATAACGGTCAGGGCAGGATAACGGGCAGGATAACGGGCAGGGCAGGATAACGGGCAGGGCAGGATAACGGTCAGGACACCGGGCAGGGCAGGATAACGGTCAGGGCAGGATAACGGGCAGGATAACGGTCAGGGCAGGATAACGGGCAGGATAACGGGCAGGGCAGGATAACGGTCAGGATAACGGGCAGGGCAGGATAACGGTCAGGGCAGGATAACGGGCAGGATAACGGGCAGGGCAGGATAACGGGCAGGGCAGGATAACGGGCAGGACAGCGCTGCCCGCACCCTGGAGGGGTGGGAAAGGGACCGGACCCGCCCCGCCTCGCCCTGCCCTGCCCTGCCCTGCCCGGGTCATCCCTCTCCGCGCCCGCCCCGCTCCGGTCCCAGCCCCGGTCCCGGTCCCGGTCGCTCCTCGGAGCCACGCGAGATCCGCGGGCGCGGGGCCGGTGCTGGGCGCGGGGCGGGCCGGGCCGGGCGGGGCGGGCCGGGGAGCGCGCATGAGCCGCGGCGGCGGCGGCGGGCGGGAGCGCGGCAGCGGAGCGCGGCGCTGCCGCGGGTGTGGGCGCGCCGGGGAGCCCCGCACGGCCCGGCCCGGCCCGGCCCGCAGCCGCGGGTGGCACCGCCTCGCCCGCCGGGGTGGGGTGGGGTGGGGTGGGGGGGGGCTTCCCGGCTCTGCGCGCCCCGCACCGCGGCCCGCAGCCGCCGAGGTAAGCACCGAGCTGCGGCCCGGCCCCCGCCGCCGCCGTTACCGACCCCCGCCCCGCAGCCCCCGGCCCGGCCGCGCCGGGGACCCCCCCCCTCCCTCCGCCCCGCGCTCAGCGCCCCGCTCCGCTCCGCTCCGCCCGCCGCCGCGTCGCCATTTTGCCGCTCGCTCTTCCCCTTCCCGGCGGCGCGGCCGGGCCGGGCCCGGGCCTCCCGTCCCCGCCGGCCCTCGCTGGGCCCCGGCAGGCCGCGGGCAGAGGTGTGAGGCCCGGTGCGGCCGCGGCGCCCCCCGTGTCCGCTGGGGCTGCGGGACACCCGCTGCCCGCCTCGGCGCGGCGAGGGCTCATTGTCCGCCGGGGCCGCGCGTGTGCTTTGCCCCCCCGGGGTTCCGTGCCCGGGGCTGGGAGAAGGGGAGGGATTGGCCCTAACGTGCTGCCGACACAAACTTCACCGTGCCCGGAGCGGGAGCTGTGCCCTCCGCAGGGGTGATGGAGCACGGCTGCCCCAAGGCACGGCTTTGCGGGGCGTCACCAGCGCCTCGGTCCCTCGGTGGGAAGCCTCCGGAGAGGGTGAATCTGATCCGTGCCAAGGAGACTCCATCGGCTTCGTTCCCGGGAGGTTGCGGGGCCGTGGGTCCAGGTTGGCAGTGGAGTTGCAGAAGTGATGGGCAAGGCAGCGTCCTTTGGTGTCGGCATCCGCGCTGGACTTGTCGCATCCCTGCCCGCATCCTGCCTGGTCCGTGGCGCCGTGGGCAGGGGAGCAGCTCTCTCGCCTTTGGAGGTGTTGGTAAATTGGAGCACATCGATGGGTGGCCAGTTTGGGTCCAGAGCATCCATAGCGATGGGACTGGGTTGGGAGACCCGCCAGGAGAATCAGTGGTCAGCACCCATGGGTGGCTTTCCTCCTGAAGCCATGAGGCCATCGTGGAGCTGAGAGGGTCACAAGCATCCCTGGCTGTGTTTGCGCTCCTGCAGACCCGATCCGAGGTCACGGATGGGTATTTATCCATGGAATTAGCTGTCCTTTTCCACTTTATTCCCACTTTCCAGGCTGTGCATGGAGAGAAAGAGCCCACTGGGGCTGTGAGCGCCTGGGACACTGTTGTTCCTTAAACCGGGCAGAGAAGCACGTGGCTGTGCTGGTGGCTCCGGAGCGGTGCCCTTGGCACAGCGGGTTCCCAACCTTCTCTCCCTCTTTCCTGTGGCCACAGGCTTCCTCCTCACCCTTGCTCTCAGCACCACCAGCTCAGCCTTTGCTCGTCCCACGCTGGTCCCTGTGTTGGCACGGGAATTCTTTCCTGGAGCTGGAGTGGGACACTCGGGAAATGCTGCTGCAAACTTGTAAGAAGTCACCTAAGAAGAGCTGGAGGCTTGATCAGTGAAGTTCCTGCTATTCCGAACCTTCCCACACCACATCCTCACCCTGCCGATACCTTCTCCCATTTCTGGATGCAGAAGGGTTTTCACCATCACAGAAGCAGGGAAGGGCACGGGCTGTTGCCCAGTTTCAGCGTGTGTTACCCTAAAAGGAGTGAGAAGTTTGGACATCACAAAGCAAGAACCAACAAGGGGCTGTTTTTTGCTCTCTGCCCCCGGGGCAATTCCTCTGGGAGCTCTGGGGTATTTGGTATGGAAAAGCAGACGTTCAGAACCTCTTATGCTGGCTGGAAAGGATCCCTTTGAGAGGACAGATGTGTTGAGGGGCAGAGCTGAGCTGAGCACCTCGTGCTGATGGTTTTGGGCAGGCAATGTTGGAGGTGATGCTCAGCGTCGCTGCTGCTCCGGTGCCTTGGTGTGTGCTGCCATAGGGCATGCCGGGTGCAGGACGTGGGCACTTGGCCATCACTGGGGTCTGCCCTGTGCCATCACCCTTTGCGAGTGCTCCTGGAGCTGCCCAGCGAGGTGGACACGGAGGTTCGTGGTCCAACAGCAGCCCTGCACTGGGGTCTCATTGCTTGCTGTGCTGGTGGCCACCATTCGGTGTGTGGGGTCCTGCTCTGCCTTTGCCCTGGTGCTCACAAGGGGCAGGGTTGCATTTCAGCACTGGCCCAGGTTGCTGTGTGCGTTCCCCCCTTGGTTTACACCCTGTTGTAAAGCACTGAGGTCTTGTTCCAGCTTTCAAGTCGCTGGTCTTCCATGAGTCTTCTTTGAGCAGCTTGTCTGAGCATCACTGAGAGGTGCCAGGAGACAGCAGAGGAAGGAAGGGACTGGCATGTTCATCCATGGAGGGTCAGGGATGGTCTCACACAAGTGAGAGTGGAGCTGTGATTTGGGAAGGGGCCGCAGGGATCCGAGCATCCCCACGGGCAGCTCAGGTCTCCCATCAGAAGACTCCAAGTTAGCTGAATCAACGCTGCCTGCGTTCACCAGCACACACCAGAGAACCTGTTGCCAAGGCTGGAATGTCTCGCTTGATCCCATTAACCTTTGTGTCCCTGCCACCACATACATGTCACCAGCCGAACGCGTGCCGGAAGCTTTGGCCAGCTCTGGCAGCACGTGCGCTGCATGTGATGGGCCTGATCCCGCATGGAAAATCCCTGGGGCACCTCAGAAAGGACTGATGGGCCTTTGTGTCTTACGTGTTGATGGCGTGGCCGATGAGCCGGGATGCTCTCCTGACCTCTGCATCCCTCTGGGGACAAGGAGAGGCAGGATGAATGCGGATGCTCAGTGCATCCAGTCCGTTGAGTTAAACGGTGCCAAGTGTGATCTTGGTTGGAGGAATTTGGGAGGAGGAATCAAATCTCTCTGTGTGGGTTGAGCATGGGTGAAGAAGTGATTAGTTGGCACTTCCCATAGTCACGCTGTCAGTGCCTGGCTGAGATCAGCGTCCCGTCCCATCCAGGGTCTCATCCATGGTGGTCCAGGGAATCACCTCCCAAGAGCCTGATGCTCCCAACACAGCCCCATCCTCAGATGTGTCCTTGCTTATGCTGTTGGGAAGGGAGGAAGGTGCTTGAACCCACCCCAAGGCACTGCCAAAGCAGAGGGCTGTCCTGCTGCCCGCTTCCGTTGGGAGCAGGCGTGGGCCTTGTGCGATAATGCCTGATGTTCATTATTTATAGAGCAGCCAAATTGAATTATTAATAGGGAAAATTCAGATAACGTCCCCACTCCTCAGTTTGTAACAGTTTCCCATTAATAAGGAAAATTGGAAATTTATCACTACATCTGCTCATTAAAACTCACTCCGGTTTTCTTTTTCCTTGGGTGTCTCAAATGAAAGGCGAGGAATAAACGACGAGGAGAAAGCCATTTATTCCCTGCTTCTCGGGGCAGAGGCAGCCCATCATTAAAGTCTTTGCTGTTGGATGTGGAGGGGAAACCAGCCTATAATAAAGCAGCTTTTCAGCCATGTCCGTTGTGGCGTTGCTCGACTCTAGAACAAACCCTGGGAATCGCGTCCTGCTGCTTCTCTCTGTGGGACTCTGTCGGCTGTGGGATAGAGCCCGGCTTTCCCTCCCTCCCCAGCAGCTCTCCTTGCGTTCAGCATGTGTTGCTCCCGGCTCCGAGGAGTGAATTTTAGTGCCTCTCCTGCTTCTTTCAGAGATGGCGGATTCCTATACCTATAAAGGTGGAAGGAAAACTGCAGGCTCGCACAAACCCGCTGCCAGCAAGGAAAGCAGGACAGAGACAAGGATAAACCCACCGGCAGAGCTGCCCAAGCTCGGTAAGGACATGGTTTTCCTTTCCGTGGAGGTGGATGGGGCAAAGGGGATGAGGCTGGGGGGCAGGATTGGGGGGGGGGGGGGTGGCTGCCATAATGAAGGGGTGTGAGTGCATCTGATCGTGCCTTTGCTTTAATCCACCGGGGAGAGCTGTGCCGGTCCAGTAAATCCCCTTGGAGCTGCAGGGGGAAAGGGAAGGGAGCGATGGAGCCGGTGTCTCCCTCGGTGGCTTAACGAGATGGGTGTCTCGCCGCTGTTTATCCTGCTGGTAGCTGAGTGGGACATCAAAGGAGGGAAAAGGCTTAAATGAGTTCAGCCCATCTGCTGTCTCCTGGGTCGGGGAGGCTTCCGAGTCGATGAGCCCCGGGGGAGCCGCTTGCTAAGGGCTGTCACTCTGATGGATGGCTGATTGCTCTATCCAGGAATCTCCAGGCCTGAGGAGATTCGTTTCCTTCTGTCTGCTCACACTGGGCTCATCCACAGAGGGGCTCTCACTGCCTTTACGGTGCTCAAAGCCAGGTTGGGCACAGGGGCTTGGAGCAAGCTGCTCTAGTGGAAGAGGTCCCTGCCCGTGGCAGGGGTTGGAGCTGGATGGGCTTTGAGGTCCCTTCAACCCAAACCAGTGTGGTTCTGTGGTTCTGTGATAGTGAGCGGTTCCTGCACCCTGGGTGAGGGTCAGACCCCAGTGATGTATCTGGGACCAGGCACCCAAAATCAGCAGCTTTGCAGGGAAATGCCTGTGCCCTAAATGCTTCCCAAATGTCCCTCTTCCCTTGAGGGGCTTGAAGCTGTAATTGCTAACAGGGGGCTATAACTTATTACTGATGGGAATGAGCTCCAGCTGTCCCCAGTATGAGCATACCTGTGTTCAGGAGTGGTTTTCCCTGCACCACGTATTAGCAGCCCTTTTTTAGCCCTTGCTTCTGGCTTGGATGGACTGAAAGTGATGAGGGGGAGTGAAGGACACTTTGTGATGAAGATACTGCATTGTTCTCGCTGGGATGGGGCTGGAGGTGGAAATGGCTGACAGGGCTCGTGTCATCGGGGTGAATTAAGCTGGATGCAGTCACTTTGCTGGGATGCAGCAGCCTGTTGGCACAGGGAACATCCTTCCCAAGCCAGGTCTTGGTCCGGAGAAGGGATGGGATTTCTGTGCTCAACAGCCTGCCCAGACACAGATTTCTTTTGCTAAGTGGCGTAGTTGTTGAAGGATTTCTTCCAATGCAAGTGGAAGGATGGATTCCAAAGCACCCCCTGGCTGTGCTGAAACTGCTCTGTGGAAATGAAAGGAGATGTGTCAGTGGGTACCAGGAGAAGCCACTGCCTCCTGTGCAGGTATCTGCGGGTGTAGGGGCTGTGCACTGAGCTGCAGAGGAGCTGGCATTGCCTTCCAAAGGGGAATCTCCATCCTTGCCAGGGCAGGGACGCTCAGCCCAGGGCCCTGTGTGTGTCCATAGACTGCGTGGAGCGAGGGAAGCGGGATTGCAGCAGGTGATGGGCGCTGCCTCTGTTTGCAGGGAATGCAACCAGTGACAAATCCGAAGGCAGGAAGAAAGGACGACCCAAGGCTGAGAACCAGGCACTGAAAGACATCCCTGTAAGACCCCGGACCCTCTGCTCCCCAGTGCCCTCCCTGCCTTGCCCTCCACATCTTCCTGCACTGCATGCTCCAGCCAGCCCCATTCCAAGGTTAAACCTGCCCTTCCCGGGGGCTTAATCATCAGAGCAGCCTTGCTGTGGGCATAGCAAGATCTTTGCCCCTCCATCCCCTCCATGCAGGCATCCAGCATCTTCCAAAACCCTGGTTAGGGAACACAAACCCCCTCCGGGCTCCCCTTCCCAGCGCCATGCCCAGATGAGCTGGATTCTCTCACAGACACGTCAGGTTTGACTGGTGATCTGGGAAAGGGGTGATTTATTCCCCACAGAGTTGTGCAGTTTCATTCCCACACGGACAACACAGGGAGCAGTTTGTCAGGAGAGCGTGGCCATGGGGTGATTTATTGCCTAGATGAAATATGGGTGATTAAATCACTTAGGTGGCTTCTAGCCTGATTTATTCCCTTAGCCTGGCTGGGAGCGTGCGTGTGCTCGGGGAGGCACATTAACCTGTAGAGCCTGCAGCATCTGTCCCAGCTCCTCTGGCTGGAGGGAGCACCACTGCACTGCAACACAGCCCTGGGTTCCCTTTGGGGCTGGAAGGGTTGGACAGGGATGATCAGAAGGTCCCATGTGGCCCCTCGGGATGCAGCTGGACGCATGCTCTTCCCTCACCAACGCGTCTCGTGTCTCCTGTTCCCAGCTCCCCCTGATGAACCAGTGGAAGGACGAATTCAAAGCCCACTCCAGGGTGAAGTGTCCCAATGCAGGCTGCTGGCTGGAGTTCCCCAGCATCTATGGCTTGAAGTACCACTATCAGCGCTGCCAAGGGGTAAGGGGACCAGAGGGATGCCTCTCCTCTCCAGTGCCCTGCTCATACCTTACCCTCTACAGGGTAAAGCCCCTCTTGGGCCTTATACCACCAGGAGAAACATGACATTAAAACAGGGAGGGCATGGCTGGGCCAGAAGTGGTTCATGAGATGTGCATGAGGGAGACTGGGGTCCCTCCAGCTCAGTGTGAGGTTTGGCTTTGGGGATCGTGGGCTGTTGGTAACCATTTGGAGGGGCAGAAGGATGCTACCCGTGATGTGTGTGCATACCTGCATCAGGAAAAGCCCGTCCCTTTCATGGCCTCACATCCACGCTCCCCTGTCTCTCCCTGCTCACACAGGGTGCAATCTCCGAGAAGCTGACGTACTCGTGCTCGTACTGCGAAGCTGCCTTCACCTCCAAAACCCAGCTGGAAAAGCATCGGCTCTGGAATCACTTGGATCGGCCCGTGCCAACCAGCAAAGCAGAAAACAAAGTGCCCAAGGCCATTGGGAAGAGCAGTGGCAAGAAAAGGTACCAGGCTGTGGCTGGGCTGCGTGGCGGTGGTGTAGGGATAGCTGGGAGAAGGGGAATGTGCCCACCTCCATTCCCCATGATCCAGGCTGGCGAGGCGGGGGGGGGAGAGGTGTCAGGACATCTGTGTAACAAGCCCTCTTTAAACGAGCCCTCTGTGCTTTGCCCTAGAGCTGCTGAGAGTTCAGCTTGCCCCACCATCCATCCCAAACAGGCAAAGACGGACAAAGCCGTGGGCCAGGGCCACGCGGAGAATGGCGAGTGCCTGGCGGAGAGCAGGGAGAGCAAGGAATTCCACATCGCCGGAGCCGAGGCCATGGCAGCCGCCACCCCCACGGCCAAGTCCTCCAGTGGCAAGGACACCATGCAGCAGGGGAGCAGCCAGGCCTCGCTTCAGGAGGAAGACCCCGAGAGGATGAAGCACAGTAAGATTAGAGCCCGGGGCTACGCTGGTTCCAGAGCGCAGAGAAGGGGTGTCCTTGGGGAAGGGGCTCTGCTCCAGCCACTGCGAGTGTCTTCCTGAATGTTCCCAAGGTTTAGCATCCGGGTGACTTGCCCCCAACTCAGTTTCTTGTGGCTCCACTGGGACTTAAAGCCTGGTGGTAGCTGTGGTAGGTGTATGGGGGTCTCCGAGGTGCCAATACAAGAGGGACGTGGAGCTGCTGCAAGGGCTCTGCTCTGGAGCCAGGCTGAGAGAGCTGGGCTGGGTCAGCCTGGAGAAGAGAAGGCTCCTGAAGGGGAGAGCTTAGAGCAGCTCCAGTGCCTGAAGGGGGTGCAGGAAACCTGGAGAGGGGCTTTGGACAAGGGATGTAGGGACAGGCCAAGGGGAATGGCTTTAACCTGCCAGAGGGGAGGTCAGCTGCTGAGGCTGTGGAAACCACTTGGCTTCTGGCACAAGACCAAGCCACCACTTCCACTCTTTGAAGGAACCCTGGATCCCGTTATTTCTCCTGGGGTTTTGGGGTGGGAAGCAGCATCCTGATGCTGTTTGGTGCCACATGTTTCATCGTGGTAAAGGCCTCCTCAAGGCGATCCACTCCTGACATAGAGCACGTGCCCACCCCATGCCCTGGTGCTGCTGGATCCCCCTGGCAGTGCAGGTATTTGACCAAATCTCTCTCTCTGTTTCTCTCTTTTGAGTCAGGAAGGAAACAGAAAACTCCTAAGAAGTTTACGGGGGAGCAGCCGTCCATCTCGGGGACTTTTGGGCTCAAAGGTAATAGAGGGATGGCTCCGGTGGCTCTAGGGTTGTAGCTTCATCGTGGGGTGTTTCAGGGAAGCCCCTTTCCCAAGAGCACTCCCTGGGGAGGAGGAACGTGACAGACACATGGGGACATCACATGGGAGGAGCTGGTGCCTTTGACCATAGGGGTGTTGTAAAGGGAATTGAAGGCGGCGGTGGAGCTGGCACTGGTAACAGCCCTGGCTGCTCTGCTTGGAAGCCTGTTGCTGGGAATTAGGGGAAAGAGGATAGGATCCGGGTATGTCCAGCTGTATCACAAGAGAAATGAGCTGCTGACACAAGCAAGGCACGAGAAGCACCAGCTCATCATCATCATCCCACCATCCTGGGAAGTCACAGCATTTCCAATGGCATCGAGGGGGGGTTCTGTGCCTAGAAAAGCTGCGTGACGCATCCATCCCTCAGATGATGCTCCAGTGCTGGTCGCCCACAGTCAAGAAGATGAATTCAAGGGAGAAGAGAAGTGTTGCTGGGATGTTTCCTGTGAGGAGGCTCAGGAGTTGCTGTTTCAGCCTGTCAAAGCAAGAGCAAGTGGGACTGTGCTCATGCTCCATAGGTATACCCAACTGGGATGGAAACCAGGAGCATCCCTGCTACGAGAGCAACTGGATTCGGATTGCCCATGAAATATGCTTGATGAGGGAAACAAAAAGTGGATTTCCAGGCAGGAGGCAGCACCTTCCAGTGCGAGAGGCACTCGGGGGAGAGGCACTAATGGCTTTGAAGGACTTAAACACGTATTGATGAGCAGTCTGGATGTGGTCTCTGTGACTGCCTTTCCCCTTGCTCCTGGGATGTCTGGGGTTGTTCCCCTTAACAGCCCCACAGAGACACTGCCACAGGCTGAAACGTCTGCTGTGGGTTCCTCAGGGAGAAGCTGGTCCCCCACTGACCCACTTCCTCAGGTGGAGAGTGAAGATGAGGCAGGCATTTGCCTCCATCCCCTGGGCTCAATGTGGCAGTTCTCTCCCCAGAGACAAGGCTGCCACCAGCCCATCACGGGTGCTGTCTGCATTCAGACCCAGGCTCACAACCCACGCTTTCAGAGGGACGTGGACCCTCTGCCCCTCACGTTTTCCATTTCTTGCATATGCCAAAGGATTCTGTGTGACAGAGCAGGATCGGGCAGCACTGCTGCTGCTCGCAGGCTCCCAGCACGTGCTGACCCTCCTGCTGCTCACTTCACCCTGCTTGGTGCAGGGATGATGCTTTGGTGGTTGGCAGCGATGCCTGTAGCAGGCTGAATGGGAAGCACATGCTTTGCCCAGGCAGGGATGAGGCACAGACAAGTTGGGATTGTGGATGTGTTTTGGGGAAGCTGGCGGGGAGCCTGGCACTCTGCCTGCACGGAGAGCCCTGCCTTTGATGCCTCTCTGCTTTGCAGGCAGGCTTGGTGACGGTCACCAGCAAGCCAGGGAGCCAGACCAGCTTTCCTCTTCCCCATTTGCCTGTCATCCAGTCACCCCTCTTCTCCTGCTCCTTCCTGCCCCTTCCCAGCGCACACTGGGATGGGAAGAGATCCATGTGCATCATAACAAGTGCATACAGATCCAGGGATGGAAGGTCCTGCATCTCTCTGGTGTCCAGGATCCCAGAGTTTACCCAGTTTTATAAGAGGGACCACAATTCCTTGGCGTAAGCAATCAGCCTCTCCAGTGCAGGAGCAGCAGCAGGAACTTCACTTTTATATCCTGCATTTGCTGCTTCAATTCCCCATTTCAGTTCGCCTCAAAGTGCCCTTCTGCCTCCTCCTGTCTTTCTCCCAGTCTTCCTTTCCAGCACCACTTTGCCATGGTGTTTCCACAGTTCATAAACTGCCTGGGTTGGGGGAGACGATTCTCTTCGGAAACCACCCCAAGCTGTTACGATTGCTTGGCGTGATTCTGGACCTGATCCCATGTGCACATCCTTGGCAGGGCTGCAGCCAGTTTGCTGCCTCTGGATTAGTGGAAGGGATTTTTTTCCCTTGCTAAATGGGAGTTGGTCTCTCTACAGGTCTCGTTAAAGCAGAGGATAAGGCAAAAGCTCATCGAGCCAAGAAGCTGGAGGGAAACACCAGCGTGGAGGAGCTCAAAAAGAAACCTCTAGGAGCTGCTGTGAAGAAGGAAACGGCTGTGCATCTACCAGCAGGTGAGGCTGGGGGAGGCAAAGCACGGGAGCAGGCATGTATGGGCCCCACGTTCACCTGCAGGTCCTATATCCCTCCTTGCCCAGCTGGGTGAGCTTTCCAGCAGGTTTGTGAGCAGAAGCAGCACAAAATCCAGCTCTTTCCACCTGGCTTCGCTGTGGCCACACTTTGGGTCAGGGAAGATGGCATTTTTCTAACCATCATCTCCAAGAACGATGGCAGTGCAAAGCTCTAAGCATGGTTATGTCTTCTCCGAGGCGCATCCTACATCCTAGCACAGGTTGCTTGCCTTGCCTTAGGAGCTGTGACAGCAGGAGGAACGCAGGATGTGCGAGATAAACACAGCTGCAGTGCCTTGCACTGCTTTCAAATGCAAACAGATCACCCGGAGAGCTCAAGAGCTGTGCAAAGGCATCCAAATAAACAGACTTGGTGGGTTTGATTCAGGCCAGGCTTCCCTTGCTGGAAGCCCAGCATCGCTGTGCTGAGAATCAGTGTGAGCTCTGGACCTGGAGCAGGTTTTGACCCCATGAATCCCTTATTTTAGGTAGTTTTTAAGCCAGGCACAGCCATTCAAATAAGCAGATGCTTGGAAGCTAGCACTCCTCTTGCTGCCTGTGTGTCTGCTGGGAAGGGGATCGCACCCATCCCAATGGAGCCGAGATGCTCACCTTTGTTTTACTCCTGCTCATTGTTTCATGTGGCAGGGGGAGGTTATTCCACACATGGCAAGGTCAGGCAGCCAAGGCCGTCATCATGTTTTAACTCCCAGCTTGCAGGATGTAGCAGGGTTGGAAAGGGGGGGGGAAACCTCCTTTTCCCTATCAAATGCCACCAGGTCAGATATATGAAGAGACCCGGGGACCAGTTTGTTCAGGCAGCTTCAGGAGCTGTGGGGCAGGTAGAGCTGTGTGGTTTGTGCCTGGTTTGGGCTTGACCTATGCCTGGGAGAGTGTTTCTTCTTTACCATCAAGAACTTTCCCCAATTCAGTGCTTTTTAAGGTGATAAACAAGGCTCACAGCAGGGTTGTCCTCAGCCCAGGCAGGCTGGGGGCTCTGTGGCTGGCTGTAACACCTCTCTCCTGTCCCTCACCAGCAAACCCTGAGGACCAGTGGCAGCGGGAGATCAGCGAGAAGGGAGAAGTCGCCTGTCCCACCTGCAGTGTTATAACCAGGAAAACTATCGTGGGGCTCAAAAAGCACATGGATGTGTGCCAGAAAGTAAGACTTGCTTTATCCAGTCACCCACATATGGATTGTGTAAGGGAACGGATGCATAGGTGTGCCACTCATAAATGTGTACTGGTGCTCGGGGCTGGGGTTGATCTAACACTTGCTGGTCATCTTCAGAGGGAAGATGATTGCCTCGCATCGATTCAGAGGGAATTAGACACCTAATTCCCTGGAAGTGTTCAAAAACCATATAGATGGAGGCCCTTAGTGACCTGGTTTAGTGGTTTCACTGGGGTAAAGGTTGGCCTTGATGATCTTAAAGGTCTTTTCCAACCGAGATGCTGAACCCCTTTGTGGTCTGAGGCCCTGGCCCCGGTGTCTCCAGGTATTTCTAGTAGCTAAATGAATAGCTGTGAGGCTGGAGAGACTGTTGGAGCTGTGTCTAACCTGGCCTCCTCCTGAGTGCTGGCTGAGGGATTTCAGTGTCCCACGCTTTGCATCAGGCCGGATAAATTGTGGCCGAATGAGAGCACGTCTCGGGGAGGCATCGTGCTTGGATGGGCTCAGGCGGGCTGTCAAGAGCAGGGCTTCAGTAACGGTGCAGTGAGCAATGGTCTCTGTGCCACGCCACCATCCATCAGAGCAGAGGATTACGTCCTCATCCGTCACCTGGCGCGGTGCGGAGCCAGCACCGCAGGAAGGCAACGTGGGATCGATGCCTCCTGCTTGGAAAACATGGGGCTGGGCTTCGATTCCACATCCATTTTCTGTGAATGCCCTCCTCAGCCTTTGCCTCTCGATTTAGTGGGAGGCTGCTCTCCCTTTCAAACCCTGGACTGCAGCGATGCTGGGCAGAATCAGAATCCTGCCTCCTCTGGTGTCCTCCAGGCTGCGGTGGAGTGGGATCTTGGCCATCACTGCTCATGTCTCCTGTGCTTTGGAGCATCTCCCAAGCTAAACCAGGCTCCATGCAGGCCTGCTGAGGAGCGATAGGCCACTGTAAATAAGCTTCATCCCTTCAAGTGGGTGTTTTGTCACCCTTCCTTGGGAGGGACAGTCCTTGCTGCGGCTGGGATGCTTCGCAGAATCCCTGCCAGAGCAGTCTGTGGTCCATTGAGGACGGTCCCTAAGCTCTGGGTGTATGACCACAGGCCCAGCTCTCAGCATTTCACCTCTAAGAGGAACCTATGGCACATCCGTAGGGAGGTCCCACTGCTACAGGCATGTGGTATACCCACCAGAAGTGACCCTGGAGCAGAGGCACTCTCTCAGCTTGCTCTCTGCTTTAATGACTGAAGTATTTCTTAGCTGGACAATGGGAAGAGGATGTGCAGGCTCCCAGAACTCTTATAAACCAACAGAAATTGGTTTCTCCATTCCTTGCTTGTCGCTGAGCAGTCTGCTCTGTTTCCCTTGGGTTTGGAAAGGAAATAAGGGATGGGGACAGTGGCAACATGCGGGGGCCTGAAAGAGGCGAGAGCAGGTAAATCCTGCCAGTGTCCTGGGTCGGAGGGCTTGTTAGAACATGGACATGGCATTCTTCAGTGTGGACCTGAGGGGTAAACCCCAAATTGGCTGGCATTGGTATCTGGTGAGTTAAGTGGCTTTTAGCATCCACCCTGTTAGGATCAAGCGCTTGGGTCTGGAGCAAGGTTAACTGATGGGAGCACAGGTACATGTGAGTCGCTCCCAACTGGCTGCAGTGAGTTCATTCTTCATTTCCCCAGGACTTCGGGATGAGGAGGGATTTGCAGCTCCATCTTCATTCCCTCTCCAGCTTCTAGTCCAGGCTTGACTGAAGGGGGAAGTGATGAAGGTGAAGCATCAGCCAGGCAGGAGGAGCAGGAACGGCTGCAGCCATCCAGGCACCAGTTCCCTGTCAAGACATCCTGTCTCTTGGTGCCCAGAATGTTCACCTCCTGAGTCAATACATGCTGGTACCTGCCCCAGCACGAGTCATGTTCTGCTTATTCACTTTGCAAGTTCCCCTTGCACATCGGTGTGTGCATTCAGTGCCTCTCCCCAGTCACTCAAGAGGCCAAGTCAGGTCAGAAGCAGAGCAATAGGTGGTGGCAAGTGCTCTGATTGTCCAGCAGCATCTGGATTTCAAACAGCCCAGGCACCCAGAAAGGGGTTTGTACACCAGCACCTGCAGTAGTTAATAGTGCTGCAGAGCACAGTCCTCTAACATACTGATAGATCAAAGCTGCTCCTCTGTCCTAACCCTTTAACAGGAGAACTCAGATACCGGGTCCAGATGTTTGCAGCCAGCGGGGCTTTAAATCTGCATCCAAAATGGAATGTTTTCCAAAGCCTGGGGCATGTGGGTTTGATAATGGTATCCAGGACCACAGAGAGAGCACCCCTGAGCTGCAGGCTGGGACTGAGATGGGCGACAGGGTTGCCTGCTGGGTCCCGCTGCTGGGTGCTTGCTGCCTATGGGGCTTAGTGACAAGCAGCCCTTGGAGGAATGAACGGTGGCCTCTGCCCCCCGGGGTGACTTGTCTTTGATTCCTTCAGCTGCAGGATGCCTTGAAGTGTCAGCACTGCAAAAAGCAGTTCAAGTCCAAGGCCGGGCTGAATTACCACACCATGGCTGAGCACGTCAGCAAGGTAAGAGCTGGGCTGCCCTCTTCTCGCGCCTCGATTCTTGATGCAGATGCAGGAGGTGAGGCTCTCAGCAGTCTCTTCCCTTTGGGTGAAGGAAGGGTTCACACCATCACCTTCACAGCATTTCCCATGCTGCTTAGTCCGGACAGTGGCCGAGCGCAGCCGTTCCTTCCCTGGCAGCTCCTTGTTGATCCTGGGAGCAGAGCAGAAAACACACCAGGATTTCAAATCCCGGGATGGGGGAGATGCAGTGAGTGCGGTGAGGTGGATTTTGAGTGGCAAAGCTCTGCCTCCAAAACCGCCTGCAGAGCCGGGGCTGATGGGCTCTGCCTTGCACGAACCTCTAAATCCAGCTCTCCACTAAGAAGCAGGCACAAAATCTCTCATGGATAATGTTTGGCAGGTACCAGTTTAGATGCTGTGCTTGAAAACCTGGTGGTGTACCTCCAGGATACCAGGGCAAGGCACAGCCTCATCTCTATGTGTCCTGTGCTTACCAGTTGTGACTTTACCTGTGCAGTAATCTCCTGCTCTTCAGTCTGGCTGGGGAATCCTCTGTGCAGGAGCTACTCCTGAGTTTCTCAACTGGCCCTTTGGGTGCCAGTGCAAGAAGGGCATGAGCAGGTCCGGCAGCTGACAGTGCAGGTGTTGGTGTGTGGTGAAGCAGTGGGAGATCCAGCTCTTCTACGGCAGAGCTTTCCCACCTCCTCCTGCCGCAGAGGACACGAGTAAATGGTTGACTCTGTCACTTCTGTTACTTCCTTGTTTCCAGCCTGTTCCTGTGGAAACCCCTGGACTTGGTGAGCAGGAAGAGCGGGAAAGGCTGAGGAAAGTGCTAAAGCAGATGGGAAAACTGAAATGCCCCAATGAGGTACAAGAACGATTCCTGTTTCTCCTTCTGTGAAGGGTGGAAGGAGTGCTCCCCAGTGCAGAGGGGGACGTGCACTCTCCAGGCATCCCTTGGCACGTACTCCACTTCTCCACCTTAGCTCAGCCATCCCGGTCCCATCCTGCTGGCTCTGTGCGCTGGGGCAATGGGGCCTCCCAGCAGGAGGGGGGGCACAGGGCAGGTTGAGCAGCACCGAAGGGCAGGTTCTGCTTGCTGAGCTCAGGAAGGGGCAGAGCACAGCATCCAACCAGACCAAACCACGCTGAAAACGGTGGTGAGCTGCTTGCAGACAAGTCACCACCAGGGCGTGTGGCAGAGGCTTGGCCCTGTGGGTGCTTGGCTCAGTGCAGGCAGTGCCTCCCAGTGCCTCCTGTGTGTCTGTCTGGAGGGCTCTGATGCTGTGTCGGGGCAGGTAGAGCCAGAGACAGGGGATGCTCCCTCCGTCCTGCACTGCCGTGGCTCTTCAGGGGTGAGGGGCTGCTCAGTGATCACACATCACCGCAAGGGGATGGGTTGGTGGAGCTGTGTGTGGAGGGCTCTCCTTGGGTTGTGTTCCTCCCTGGAGCAGCGGCACATGAATCCCCAACCTTCCTTATCCTCTCCTTATCCCTGCAGGGCTGCGTGGCCAACTTCTCCAGCCTGATGGGCTACCAGTACCACCAGAAGCGGTGTGGGAAGCAGCTGGCCGAGGCCGACAAGCCCGTGTTCAGCTGCCCACACTGCGGCAAGAAGTACAAGTCCAAGGCTGGCCACGACTACCATGTGCGGTCAGAGCACACGGCCTCGGTGAGCCCCCCGGATGCCTCCACAGCCCAAGGAGTGGGGCCATCCCCCCCCACGGGGGACTGCAGAGCTGCAGAGCCTCTGGGCAGGACAGAGCCGGGCAAGGCAGGTGCAGATGTTGAACCGATGCTGTTGTCTCCTTCGCATCCCTGTGCATGCGGTGTCCGGGGGGGTGGAGGGGGGGACACAAGCTATAGACCCCTATGAAAAAGCAGGAGGCTGTTTATGGGAGCAGGATGCTCGGCAGTGTTCCCTTTCCCTGGTGCCCGCAGGGCTGTGCTCCAGTCCCACCCTGCATCCGTGCTGTGCAGGGAAGAAAACCAGAGCTCAGGCCACTCCCTCAGCAGTAAGCAAGCGCCGGCTGCTTGCCAGCACTGGGGTGGCAGGATGCGTCCCTGGGGAGCATCCTTTTCTGTTCTCTTGATGCCTACTGACAGTGCATCCGACTCTAATAAACTCCCTAACTCAAATAAACGGAGACGTTTATACACGTGGGAGCACCAAAGGATGCAGTCAGTCTGATGCTGGTGGCTCTTCACCCCCCCCGCATGATGCAGGTCGTGCCAATGCGGAGCCCAAACCCCAGTATCCCATCGCAGGGGGAGCTCCTCTTCTCCCCTCGGCATCCCCATCCTGACTCTGTCTCTTTGCAGCCTCCGGAGGAGCCAGAGGTGAAGCCAGAGCCTGGTCCCATAGAAGATTTCGAAAGGACCCCGAGCGGCCGCATCCGTCGGACGTCGGCACAAGTGGCTGTTTTCCACCTTCAGGAGATAGCCGAGGATGAGCTCGCCAAGGACTGGACCAAGCGGAGGATGAAGGATGACCTGGTGCCTGAAACAAAGCGGGTGAGGAGCCTTTGTTTCTCCTCTTCTCTTGCAGCAGCTGTACATGGAGCTCCTGGGAGGAGGCAGCGTGGCTCAGGGCTCACGTGTCTTGTTTCTGTGCGTTAAATCAATTAGCTCTGATGGCAAATCTATTGCTAAAGAGCCCACCCAGCCTCAGCAGTCTGGAGGCTCTATAAGAGCCTGGCAGCCTTGCCCGTTCCATTGCCAGGGCTCAAGTCTAAATGGAGCAAAAGGTGATGCTTTGTGGGCAATGCAGGGATCAGAGGGTGTTGTGGAGAGAGTTCAGCTCTGGTCCATGCTCAGCAGTGAAGATGGCACTGGCAGCCAAGAGGAGTGTGTGGAGAGAGTAGAGGTGGATGTGAAACCATTTCCCTTCCACTGCCAGAGAGCGAAGATGCTCCAGGCGGAATTTCCTCCCTTCCACATGGAGGTGATTCCCAACGTAAAGGGAGCTGGAGCCTGGAGCTGCAGCATGCAGTGGTGCACATGTGTCCTGGTGCTGTGAGATCTGTGTGGCCAAGTCGGTGCTCTGCTAGAAGTGAGCTTCATGGAGGCATCGGAGTAACACGGTAACCCGAACATCCCTCCTGGCTGTGGGAGGAGGTGATTCCTGGGAATGTCCTGAAGATGAAATTCCCTCCAGGAATGCTCCTCCTGGACCATAGAGGGAACGGAGCAGCAGCAAATCATAAACCTCTTCAGTGTAAAGGGGGGAAAAAGAGGAGTTGGGGGTTTTTAATCCTGTGGTCGATGCTTTTCGGTGAGCACCAGGACTGAGCCCAGAGGCGCCGCGTGAGTCTCGGCAGCCTTTTCCCTGCAGTTAGATCCCAGGTCTTTCCCTTGCTCCGAACCCTTGGGCATCTCCTGTCCCGTGCTCTGAAATTCACCGTTGCAAAGATGGGAGCAAGGGGCAGAGGGCAGCGGGATGAAGCTTTGCGGCAGCAGGAGAGCATGGCAGTGCTTCTGCCACGAGCACACCCAGTGCAGGACAGCTCCAGCCCAAAGGATGGACGGGAGGAAAGGAGCCCAAGTGCCAGAGCCAGCCTGGAGGAGCGATCCCCAGGGACAATGCGTGGCACCACAGCACAGCTTCAGTCAGAGCGCCTGCCCTGTCCTGGTGCATGTGTGTCCCCAGCAGAAGTGCTGCTCCATCATCCTGCAGAGAGCTGGAGCAGCTCAGCCTCACTCAGCTCCCATCCTGCACGCAGTGGGCAGGTGAAACCAGAACAGAAATAAACCACCATCTCCTTTACCCTCCCGGGCATCCCGTGAAGCAGCTGATGCAGGAGAGGATCCAGGCATGGTGCTGCCATCCGCCCTGAAGCAGAACTGAGGCTTTAGGGCCACAAGTGATGCAAACCTCAATGCTTTGGGTGCTGTTGCTGCTTTCCAGATGCCTTCGGCTGCGCTGCATTCATAAGGTTAAAAACTCAAGCCCAAAGTAGCTGTTTCATTTTGCATGCAGCGAGAGGGGAGGTGTGATGCTCTCTTCTCCCCCTTCCAGCCTCAGCACTTGCATTCCTCTTTCCTCCTTGAATTGCTCCCCTTAGTCTTGACTTTGGACATTTTCTGTTTGAATGGGGGGAGTCCCAGGAGCTCCAGGCCTGGACAAGGGGCCCATGTGCAAGCTGACGTACAGAGGCATCATAAATGAGCTGCTGGCGTAATCCTGTGTGAAATGCTGCTGCTGCTGGTGGTTTTTATGAGGCATTTCTTGTGTTACGTTGAGTTGAGCGCCATCTCAGCACTAAAACCCAAAGAGGGTCGTTGTGAGCTTGGAGGAAGCAGGGTGGCACTGAAGATAGGCAGTGGGAGAGCTGGATTTCAGAGGAGGTCAGTGCAGTGGGAGCTGCCTGCAGGTACATCCTGCAGCGACTGTCACGTTCCCTTGACAACGCTCACATCAGCTCTTCAAGTCTGTGCCATTCTTTCCCGACGAGTGATGCTGAAGGAGGTGGGAGGCAGGATTTGGCTGGGGGGGGAGCCTGCTGTCTTCAGCACGCTTTGTGCCTCTCATGCATCGCTCAGGACCCCTCGACGTTCACGAGTTGCTTCAGATCAGAACGCTGCCCTGGCTTGGACCTGGGGAGAGGGGGGGTGTGAGGGATCAGTGCAGATTTCAACTGCTCCTGCATCATCTCAGCAAGACCTGGGCACTTCCAGAGATGGATGCTTCCCAGCTCTGGCCTGTGACCAGTGATGGCTGGATGCGCCCAGACGTGCTGCAGCACAGGATGCGCTCCATCCCCAAGCTCTCCAGTTACCCGCCACAATCCCAGCAGTCAACATGGCTTTCAAGGGAGCTGATGAAGAAATCCAGCCCTCCTCTCCATCCCTTTGCCAGGCAACAATGCTTTTCCCTAGGGAGAGGCAAACAGCTCCTCAGCAAGCCGGTGGGATACAGGGGTTCACAGCCCCACTGCAGCCCCTGCACCATGCTCTGCCCTCGTGGCCACGTGGCAGCCAGCCCTGGCCAGGGAGAGGGCCGTTGGGTTTGGATCCCTTTGGTGGCCCGTGGTGGGATGCGTTTGCCTTTCCCCTGGAGGGTGGATTCCTTCACACCAAAGCAATGGCATTAGAATAAACGATTGCTGCTCCATCCCAGGCCCTGCGCTGCTCCATTCTGCACTAACCAAATCCAGCACTTCTAAATATACACTGGAGCCTTCTTTTCTCGCTGGGATCTTTCTTTGCCTCTGGATAAGCTGAAACAGATGGGGTGTTTCACAACGGCCGCTTGCTGGGGATGGCAGATGGGGAAGGGCACACCCCTGCTGCTTTTCTGGGAAAAAATCCCCTTTCCAGAAGCTCCAGGAAGATGATGCTGATCCTCGACCCTCCTCTGGCCTTCGCTGGGGCCATGGCGTGACCAGGAGCATCTCAGGGCTGTTGTAGAAGGAGCAAGAGGCCAGCGGGTTCCTGGCTTGGTGGTGCAGGCAGGCACTGGTGGGTTCTGGGGGGGTGATGTCCTTACCCATTTTAGAGGCTGCACTGGGAGAAACAGTCTCCTTGAGCAGAGGGAAGAGGCATTTAAGAGGCAGGAGGGGAGAAAACACCGTGGACATCCCACAGTTTGGTTGTGTGATGCTTTCCCTGTAGAGCTCAAGGTGGGATTGCTTGTTTCAAGGTGCTGTGAGCTTTGCGCTGGAGATGGTGATGGCTCCTGCAGCCCAGGCAGCTGCTGTGTTGCAGAGAGGAGGATGCAGAGCTCTTCTATAGGGTGCGAGGGGATCCTGGTTACATCCCAGTGGCTTGGGTTTGGGTGTTGCTGCAGCAGCCTTGGAGACTGCATGTCTCTGTGGGGCTGGGCACTGTGTTGTGGGGTAATGAGGGTCCAGAGCAAAGGGCTGCCATAGGCAAATAACGAAGCTAAAGGGGAAAAGTCACCTCCAGGCTTGAGCTGTTAAGAAGCCCCCTCCTGGCAGCAGGCTGCATTCCAGAGCAGAAGAGCCCAGCTCGGGTTTGTCCCCCAAAACAATGGCCCTGTGATCTGGGCAGGCACCAGGCTGAGCCCTGTGGACTCATGTCACTGATGGGCTGAACCGGATCCCAGCTCAACGGGGACCGGTCCATCCTTCCTCCTCCTGCTCATGGTGTCACCCGGCCACCCGGAGCCACGCAGGGGACCCAGCTGCCAGCCAGCACCCCTGGGTGAGCCTTGGCCTCGCATCCAGGACAGCATCAGCCGGGGTTTCCATAGGGGGATGCGAGAGCCTCGCGCTGGGGACCTCGGAGAGGCTCCAGGGGCGCGTTGTTGGCCGGGGCCGAGGCAGCTGCATGGTTCTCATTTACTGCTCTGCGTTTAGGGGAAGGGGAGAGAGCCTTGAAATATGAAAGTTAATGAAACAAACCCATCAGTCAAAGAAAACGAGCCCTTCCCAGCCCAGCATCCTTCGACTGTTCACAAGAGATGGGCCGCAGCCAAAACCGGTTGTAATCGTTTAATGATTTGGCCATGAAGATTTTCACTTACAGGCTGTTTGAGGAAAATAAATGGGGGGAAAAAAAAAACCAACCCGGAGATTTAAATATTCCATGCCTGGGGCTCCCTCTTAATAGAGACATAAAGATGACTTTGACATTCCCAGAACCGCAGCGCCCTGGGAAGGCATGGGATTTGCATGTTATTGTACAGGCCTGCTGGAGGAGAGCAGGGAGGGATTCTTTCTCCAGAGTGGGAAGCTGGAGCAGCAGAGTCCACGTCTCTGAACATCCCCCCCCCCTTGTCTCCTCCCCAGGGATGTGCAGAGGGAGAGGCTGTTGCTGGGGCTGCGTGCGGTTCCTCTTAGCTCATTCGTGGGGTTGGTTGGGTTTGACTCTCGGTATCAGTGGCAGAAAGGGACTCCTGTGTTATCCCATGGAGGTGCCATTGCCTTCCTCAGGCTGGGGACCAAGCGGTTTAGGTCCGTGTACCATCCCAGAGCTTCAAAGAGCTGGGCTGGCATCTCCCCCGGCCACGGAGCACGACAAGAGCAGCACACTGGGGCTCGGGGCATCTTCGCATCCAGTGCTTAGGACACCACTGCACAAGGCCCTTTGCCCCTCACATTGAGCCTGGCTCTCTCCAGGCTCCCTTCCCCGTGGCCACGTGCCGAGGTGGGCCTGTGGATCACTTAAATTCAAGTGGAAATGAGTGGTTGGTGCCCGAGCACTTGGTGAGAGCTCCTCTTTGCAGGGAGGTTTGGGAGCAGCCTCTCTGGGGGAGCTGGACAAGGGTAAATCCATGTTCATCAGCACATTCAGGAAAGCCTCCGCTGGAAAAGAGCTCCAGCTGCCTCCCTGCAGCATCAGAGCCAGGAGCTCCACGTCCTGGGGGTGTTTCAGGAGCAGAGCCTGGGTTTGCATCTGTGTGAGTGTTGTTTGTGCCTCCTCCTTGGCCAGCCGGATGCATTGAGCTCAGAGGTGCCTGTGCTGTGAAGTCCATCACTGTGCAATGCCATGGGCAAAGCTCTCCCAGCTCTGCTCTGAACTGGGGCAAGTCTGGGGCTGGAGATCCAAAAGCCATCGATCCTAGAGCTCTCTAGAGCTGGGAGACCTGGTTGTGCAGGCAGGGGCTCAGTGTCCCCTGTTGATGGTGACACGGGGACGGGCAGAGCCCAGCCCCACAGGTAGGAGCAGGCACAGGGATCAGGCAGCACAGAGATGCCACGGCCACGTTTGCTGCTGCTGCCCATGCAGCAGTGGCACTGGGAAGGCCGAGTCTCTGTGCTGAAGCTCCGAGTCGTTAATGAAGCAGTAATTAAAAGCACTTGGAAAGAGCAGCCCTGCCAGAAGGAGAGGCAGAGACACAAGAGCCTTTCATTGTTCAGTTGTGCCCATTCATGGATGGAAAGCAGCCATGGAGGCTCTCGGTGTCCATCCCCTCTGTTTGCTCTCCCCGTTACAAAACGTGGCAGAAGGGGTTTGCTGATGGGATGCACTGAAAACGCAACGGGGCATGGCCCTGCAATGGGGCATGGACCCGGGAGCGGGAGCAGGAGCAGGATCGTCCCCTCTCCTGTTTGCCATCAGCTGGAGGTGGCTGCAGCACCCCTGGCTCCTGCTCTGGTGTGCCTGGAGGGAGATGACATCCCTGGGGGAAGCCTCCCAGCTCATTTTCAGCTCAGTTTCACTTCTCCTGGGGTGGGAGGGGGGGAAGCAAGAGCCATGTGAAGAGCAGGGAGCCCACCAAGGCCCACACTGGTGTGTGCAGCTCTGCTCACTGTCTTCTATTGTTTGCAGCTCAACTACACCCGACCGGGGCTTCCAAAGCTCAATCCCAGGCTGCTGGAGAACTGGAAGAATGAAGTGAAGGAGAAGGGCCGCATCAACTGTCCCAACAACGTAAGGACCGCCTCTGCTCGTCTCTGGCCTGGCCGGTCTCAGTCTGCAGGAGGAAAGGGGAGGTTTGGGGGCACAAACCCACCGAAGCCAGGTTCTGTTGGGCCCCAGATGGAGCTGGTAGAGGCCCTCCTCTCAGTTCATCTCCGAGGTGGCTGATGTGCCTGGTTGAAGCGTATCCCACCTTTGGTGTGCTCCAGCCACTGGGGTTGGGGATGAGGCCACCCTCTCCCCATGTTCCCTTCGGGCTGATGGTTTAGTATCACCCCATTCAGGCTCTGGAGCTGCCTTTGGGAAGCTCCCGAGATCCGGACAGGGTGAAGGCTCCACGTTCTGCCCTCCAGAGCCTTTTCATGGGGGGAACCTGCTTTACCCAGAGCCAGGCTGGGGCTGGTTTGAAGCTGTTTCCTTTTGAAGCCCTGCGACAAGCACAGACCCCAGGGATGTGCTCCATGGGCTCCATCCTGCTGCAAAGCACAGCCTTGGCCTGAGCTGGCGGGGAGGTGACCTCCACCCTGGTGCTGGGCCCTTGGTTTATCATCTCAAACAAAGCCTGGCTAAGGGGGGTCTGAAGGAGGCCTCGGGGGGATGCTCTGGCTGGTGAATGGCACTTTGAAACTGGTCATGGAGAAGGGAAGGCTGCGTGGAGACCTCAGAGCAGCTTCCAGTATCTGAAGGGGGCTATAGGGGTGCTGGGGAGGGACTCTTCATTAGGGACTGCAGTGACAGGACAAGGGGTAACGGGTTCAAACTGAAACAGGGGAAGTTTAGATTGGATCTAAGGAGGAAATTCTTTCCTGTGAGGGTGCTGAGGCACTGGAATGGGTTGCCCAGGGAGGTTGTGAATGCTCCATCCCTGGCAGTGTCAAGGCCAGGTTGGACAGAGCCTTGGGTGCCATGGTTTAGTGTGAGGTGTCCCTGCCCATGGCAGGGGGGTTGGAACTGGATGATCTTCAGGTCCTTTCCAACCCGAACTGTTCTATGATTCTGTGCTTCTCTGCTGCTGCCAGGGTGATTTCTGTCTCCATTAAGCATGTGCTGTGGCTCCAGGAGCTCCTGTAGCCCAGCAGGACCCTCCCGGCCGCTCACAAATGTACGTTTTCCATGGAGACATTGAAAGGAGACGTTTGTCATCCCGTTGCAGAGGGATGTGCCCACATGACTCCCATTAGCACTAATAGGAAACGTGTGACCAGAGCCCTCCGCGTCTCTGAGAGCATTAACCTCACGCTGCTCAGCCTGGACCCGTGGCCTTGCTGGCACAGCAGGCTCCTGGCCCCGGCGCAGAGGAAGGCACGGAGCCGATGGGGGGGATCGTGGCAAACCCTGCTTTGTTTCTTCCTGCAGTGCTGTGAAGCCATTTACTCCAGTGTCTCGGGGCTGAAAGCTCACCTGGCCAACTGCAACAAGGTGGGTCCCTCCGCTCACAGCCTTGGGGTTGGGGTTTATGGTCCCCCCCTGCCCCGGCTCGTTTGGAAGCAGCAGGCCAAGGGGCAAGGGCACAGGTTGAAGGAGTGTGGCCACTGGGAGGGCTGGGTGAGCAATGCCGCTGTCACGGCTCAGCCTGGTGTTGCACCATCCCCGTCAGCTGCTCAGCCTCAGCACCATCCTCATGGGCAGGATCAAAGCCCCAGCTACAGGCAGATGAAGGCAGAGAGGCTGGAGCTGAGAAGGGATGGAGGGGACTTGGGTACTGGTCCAGTCTTGCAATGCAGATACCTCACCCAAGAGCCCAGACCTCTGGTGCATCGAGTGCCTTTGGGACGGGCAGCATCCTCCTGCCTCAGCATCCCCATCCCACCACAGCTCCTCCTGGGTTCCTGCAGCCCCTGGGTCATGCACAAGCCTTTGGCTACCCAGCGTGACTGCAGCAGCTCAGAGGCAGGGAGCTGGGCGCTGGGAGCTGAACCTTCCCAAGGCAAATGGGATCAGGAGTCTTTCTCCACAGCCCTGCAGCCCCTCTGGGAGCTTCCCCAGCAGGAGGGATGCTGGTGTGGTCCCTGCTGGGGATGGAGCCGAGGCCGAAGAGGCGGCTCCTGCTCTGTGCAGGGCTGAGCAGCAGTGCTGTGAGCTCCGGTGGCCTGCAGCCACCACAGGGGAGGGATGCAGAGCTCAGCGTAGGTCCCTCCGATTGGAACTGAGAGCTGGTAAAGCTTCAAGCATGAAACGCTTCCAGCTGCAGCTTCCATTGAATGGAGCTTCCAGGAGGCAGCTCCAGCACATAGCCCGTGGTTATTAAAAACACAAACTCCAGCGCTAGCTGGAACATCAGCCCCTAATGAGATCATTTAGAAAATGGGCTGCAGAGATCCGGCAGAAGAGGCTGTGTTTGGGCAGGATAAAAGTGCAAGGAGAGGAGGGCAGTTCCTTTGCTGGCCTGCAGCACCAGGCAGCCCAGCAGCAAACGGGGCCATTTCCTGCCTGGTTCTGTGCGCTGAACACGCTGTTGCCAGCAGGACTCTGCCCTTACAGAGGATTTAGTTTGGCAAAGGACCCACAGCCCACCAGATCTGCCGTAAATCACAGCCCCTCCAGAGCTGGGCTGTGATTCCTGCTCTAAAACCCTGCAGAATTGGTTGAAATAGAGCGAGAGCCTCGCTGAGAACAGAGGATGCTCCCAGGCAGCACCCGGTCCTCAGCGGGGATGGATGCTCCACGCTGATGCCTCTTGCTGAAGCCAGCCTGCAGCAGGGCCAGCCCTGCCCGCATCCTGCCTGCTCCTGAAATCAAAGACCTGTCTTAAGGCCAGATTTACAGCACGGAGGAATTCCCAGGGAGCTCATACATCGCCTGGAGGGGCCCATCCATAAACCCCTCGTCAATAGAGAGCACATTATCTCTGCGGGTGCCGTGAACTGCGGCAGAGCAGGAGATCAGTCATCCCCACAAGGGCCCTAATGACAGGAATCCAGCAGTGGCTGCATCTCCGACAGCCTCCGAGGGAAAGGAGGTGAGTCTGTTGGACATCAGTGAGATGTGGTTCAGCCCCAGGAGATCACAGATCTGCTGATGGAGAGGAAATGGGGCAATCACTCGCCCCCCCCCTGCCTCGGCAGCCTCCTGCACACCCCGGGGGCACACACACGGTGTCAGTGGTGACTTGCAATTGGTGCCTGGGACACACAGGCAGCAAAACCTGCTGCTCGCTGCTCACAGGGCCTGGCACTTGGATGCTTGACCCGGTGCCACCATGGGGACTGCTGCAGCACAACCAGCGTGGGCTGAAATAGATGTGGCACTGAGGGCTGGCAGAGATCTGGTGTGTTAGAAATGAGTGTTTCTTTTCTGTTTCTCTTTGAGGTTTAAGCATCAACTTCCCCTCGAAGAGGGGGAGCAGGATGGAGGGGGGGTCACCATGGTTTTGGCTCTGCATGTGGCTACAGGAGGATGCTCTTGTCTTGCAGGGGGACCACTCGGTGGGCAAGTACCGCTGCCTCCTGTGCCAGAAGGAGTTCAGCTCCGAGAGTGGGGTCAAGTACCACATCATCAAGGCTCACTCCGAGGTAAGGAAGCGGATGGGGATGCTCCGGGCTGGTTTGTGCTCCATCACACCCATCTTCGGGCTGCCCTGCTCCATCCATCCATGTCTCCCAAGAGCAGAGACAGCAGCATCAGTGCTGTGATAATGCAGGAGGGACATCCCTGTCCCCCTTTGGGTCCCTGTCACCCATAGGGCCCATTGTGGCTGCTCAGCCCTGGCCAGCAGGGCAGTGATACCAGTGGGGCATGAGGTGGGCTGTGTGTGATGGCCACAGCCCCAGGACGGTCCCTAACCCCCGTGTCCCCCCACGGGCACAGAACTGGTTCCGAACCTCCTCAGAGGCCAGCCGGAAGAAGAAGAGCAGGGAACCCCTTTCCTGCAGCAAAGAGGAGAAGAAGAAAAGCACAAACGGGAAGAAAAGGGGGAGGAAACCCAAGGAGAGGCCTCCGGAAACGTCCCCGAAGGGCAGAGAGGCCGTGGCAGCAAAGACTAATCACAAGAAAACCCTCGAGCACTGGGAAGGCTCCAGAGGCAGCCCCGAGGGGGACGAGCGTGGCCCCAAGCCCCCGAGCCAGCGCAAGGCAGGAGCCAGTAAGATGCCTGAGAAGTGAGCAGCTCAGAGACTCCTCTCCGAGGATTCGTTTACAGCCCAGGGTAACAGGGTGGGGGGGTCCCGGTTTTCTGTCCCCCCCCTTCCAATCCCACCTCCCCCCCCCCCCCCCCCTTTTTACAAAAAAAAAAAACAAAAGCAAAAAACAACAACAAAAAAAAGGGGACAGAAAATCCCATGGAACCACTTGGAGCAAATCCCGGCCCTTGTTTCACACTGGAAAAACAACCGGATCGAGCAAGCTGGACCGTTCTCCACCCCCTGCCCATGTACATACCCCCCATCCCTCCCTATTCCCTGACTTCCCTCCCTATTCCCTGACTTCCCTCCTTGCTCCCTGCACCAAACTGGTGACGCTTGAGTGAAAGAGAAGTGCAATAGCAGCAGGATGCCCTTGCCTGGGCTCTCTCTGGCTGCATGTGCTGGGCTGGGGGCTGTCCAGGCAGGCTCCGAGCTGCATCCCAGCCCCTAGGGTGATGTTTCCAAAGATGTTTGACCCATGCATGCAGGCGGACAGGGGCAAAGGGATGGCAGGAGGATGCTGGCGGGATGTGGTGGTGCTTTCCTTGGGATGTTGCAGCAGGGACCTGCTCTGTGGCATTGGCTTTGTGGCTGGCTCGGTGCAAGGGGGTTGTTCCAGGGGATGGAGCTGGCAGAGCATCCTCCGGATGCATGGGGCTGGATGTGGTTGTGGAAGGGCTGCAGGAGGTGTGGGCATCCCTGGAAGTGGATGGGAGAGGGGGACGCTGTAGGATGATGGGTCGGGTTGGAGGGATTAACTGAATGTTTTGGGAATGGTGTGAGCAGGGAGCGGGGTGATGGAGGAGCTGTGCCCTGGTGCTCATGGAGGAGCTGCAGCAGCAATGGCAGTGCTGGGGTGGCCGAGCCTTAGAGGGGAGCAGCTGATGGAAAGGGTGCTTCAGGGTCCCCATCCCAAAGGTGCTGATGGCCCAAATGGGGGTCTCTGTGCCCCATTGGAGGGACGGAGGGGGGGGCATCACCAAGTGACAATCATGGGTCCTGCTTTCGGGTGAGCCCCAACCGCTGCCCAGGCTCCTTCCACTCACCTTGTCTGTGGGGCTGGGACCTGCAAGGGGTGAATCTTAGCTCCCCCAACCTCCTTCCTTGGGAATGGAGAGCCCCTGCCCGTGCTCCATCCTTTGCTTGTTCGTTTTCCATGGGCTTCCCTTTGCCTCTGTGCTGACACCATTGTACCACCTCGCTCCAGCCTGGAGGGAAGCATCCCTGGAGCGGGATGTGTCTGTCTCCAGACAAAACCAGGCTACCTCTGTCCTTGGGAAGCGGGCACGTTTCCTCTCACTAATGGGATGGAAATCCTCACTTTGAGTTTGGTTTGCCCCTGTGCAGAGCTGGGAAGGTGGCATTGGGGTGGGGAGAGCTTCGGAGCTTCTGCTTTAATCCACTGCAACCTCAACCCTCAGGTTCCTTCCCTGCTCTTCAGGCACTGGAGGCTCGGGATCATTTCCCTGCTCCATGGAGCTGTTCAGTTGTGATTAGCATCCTTCTCCAGGGGAGGTTGGCACAGCATGGAATCGGAGTCATGGAATGGTTTGGGTTGAAGGGACCTTAAAGCTCCTCCAGCTCCAACCCCTGCCACAGGCAGGGACCCCTTCCACTGGAGCAGCTTGCTCCAAGCCCCTGTGTCCAACCTGGCCTTGAACACTGCCAGGGATGGGGCAGCCACAGGGGATGATGTGTTTGGAGCCAGGGTTCTTCCCATGGGAGCCAGAGCTCCTGCTCCAGCCACAGCTTTGGAGCAGTGGGTGAGGAAGCTCCGTTGGTTGCTTTGCTGCTTGTGCCTCATCCGATCTGTTTGGGCAGTGATGCTGGGACTGATCCTGCCCCGCTGCGAAGGGAACAGGTTGGGAGCAGCAGGACCCGTGTGCTCAGGGCTGTGTTGGTCCTTGGCACAATGGGGACGTGGTGATGCTGTCCTGGGCTGTGCCAGAGCAGGGACGGCAGGAAGGGCCGGGGTGAGGGACCCGAGGAGGATGCTCGGGGTGCACATTGTGGCTGTTGGGTGTATGGGAAGGGGAGAATGGGCAGAGCCAAGGACCAGACATGGAGCTGGGCACTGCAACCTCCATGGAGGAGTGGAGGGAGCCGCTGGATCCCAAACCCATGCCCCACCATGGGGGGAAACCCCCTGGCAAAGCTCCCTTCCCTTGCCCTGGGTGTCCCAGGCTGCGGGTTTGGATGTTCACCCCAGTCCATCCCCACCACCTCCCGTCGGGCACAGCACAGGGCTCGATTCCCATTGACACTGATGGGCAGTGGGAATGGGGATCCCGGTGCAGATGCTGTCCCCATCACCTCGGAGCTGGGGATGCACCTCAGCCCCCTGTGGTCAAATGGGAGCTTTTAGGAGGAAGTGAAATCTTCAGGGTCTGTTTTTCCCCTTCAGAGGTGTTTTTCCCTATCACGCACAGAGGGATGCGTTCTCCCATCGCCGCCTTTGCATGGGACACCCTTTACCCTCCCGCTTGGCCTTGCAAGGCTCTGGAGTGATGCTGGGAATACCCATCCCATGGCATGAGAGCAGAGAGTGTGGGTTGTGCCCATTCGGGTGCTTCCAGTGAGGCAGCGACCATGGGGAGGACCTCACCTCAATCCAAAGGGACAAATGCATCCTTCCCCTTCCATCCCCTTGTCCATAGAGGTTTGCAGACCCTGAGTTCCAGGCCCCCCCCCATGTCCTCAGTGCTATGGGGTTAATACAGAGCCAACAAGGGTAGAGGGATGCTGGGGAGGGCGGCATGGTGGGACCCATGGGCTCGGTCACGGTAAGTAAATGGGGGGCAGAGACACCCCCCAGCACCCCCGGGTATGGGCAGCCCCATGGAGCTGGAGCTGCCCCATCCCGGAGCATCGCATCCAGGGGCATTGGGAGTGTTTGGGGAGCATTTTGTTCTTTTCTTTCCCTCCTGGAGCCACCCATCCCACGGCACAGCCGGATGTCTCTCGTCGGTGCCAGTTATTAGTGCATAAGTGTATTGGGGAAGGGGGGGGGGGGGGAGGAAAAAAAAAGGAAAAAAATAGAAAAAAAAATCCAATTTATCACTTGTAACCATATATATAAATATATAAATATATATATTAAAAAAAAGTGTTTATTTGCAAAAAGATGGAATTGTTTTAACAGTAAAAGTATCTTATACTAAACTCCCTGTTTGTGATGCTCTGTTTTTGGTAGCCATGGCCCCCTGCTCAGTGCTGTGCAGCCGCGCTCGGGCGCTGGGCTGGATGTATTGAACAGCTCCATCAATAAATGGGTATGGATTTTGTATCAGCAGCAGCCGCAGCAGTGTTATTGTGCAGGTCGTTGGAAGGGTGGGAGTGGGATCCGAGGGGTTTCGCTGTCCTCGGGGGGGGGGGGGCTGAGGGAATATCCCGGTGCATCCCAAAACGGGGATGGGGAGCTCGGTACCTGCGGCGTTTACTGTGCACGCAGCACCCAATCTCATGGCAATCCCCCCCACCCCAGTCTGTCCCTGATGCACCCCATGAGCACCCATGGGCATAAATCCCCCTTCTCTTCCTAAGGTCTGCTTTGGTTCCGGATCCAGGTAAGCCTGATCACTCATCCCATGGTTCCCATGGATGGTCTTGCTTCCCAGGTGTGATGGGGACCATGGACCCACTCGTGCTCGCAGCTTCCACCCATGGCCCGAAGCACCCACCTACACCCCACAGCACCCACTGTGCCCACAGCAGCTACCTGCACCCTACAGCACCCATCCATGCCCACAGCACCCGCATGCACCCTTCTGCACCCTATAGCACCCGTCTGCATCCTATGGCACCCAAACATGCTCACACCATCTACTTGCACCCTATAGCACCCATTTGCATCCTACAGCACCCGTCCATTCCCACAGCACCCATGTACACCCTACAGCCCTCATCTGCATCCTATGGCACCCAAACATGCCCACACCGTTTGTATCCTACAGCACCCACCCATATCCAAAGCACCCACTGACGCCCAAACCACCCCCCATCTGCACCCATTTGAGTCCTACAGCACCCATCTGCATCCTATGGCACCCAAACATGCCCGTATCGTCTACTTGCACCCTATAGCATCCATCTGCATCCTATGGCACCCAAAGGTGCCCATATCACCTACTTGCACCCTATAGCACCCATCTGCATCCTACAGCACTCGTCTGCATCCTATGGCACCCAAAGGTGCCCATATCACCTACTTGCACCCTATAGCACCCATCTGCATCCTATGGCACCCAGAAGTGCCTGCATCATCTACTTGCACCCTATAGCACCCATCTGCATCCTATGGCACCCAAAGGTGCCCATATCACCTACTTGCACCCTATAGCACCCATCTGCATCCTACAGCACTTGTCTGCATCCTATGGCACCCAAAGGTGCCCATATCACCTACTTGCACCCTATAGCACCCATCTGCATCCTATGGCACCCAGAAGTGCCTGCATCATCTACTTGCACCCTATAGCACCCATCTGCATCCTATGGCACCCAAAGGTGCCCATATCACCTACTTGCACCCTATAGCACCCATCTGCATCCTACAGCACCCATCTGCATCCTATGGCACCCAGAGGTGCTCACATCATCTACTTGCACCCTATAGCGCCCATCTGCATCCTACAGCACCCATCTGCATCCTATGGCACCCAAACATGCCCGTATCGTCTACTTGCACCCTGTAGCATTCATCTGCATCCTATGGCACCCAAAGGTGCCCATATCACCTACTTGCGCCCTATAGCACCCATCTGCATCCTACAGCACTCGTCTGCATCCTATGGCACCCAAAGGTGCCCATATCACCTACTTGCACCCTATAGCATCCATCTGCATCCTATGGCACCCAGAGGTGCCCATATCACCTACTTGCACCCTATAGCATCCATCTGCATCCTATGGCACCCAGAGGTGCCCATATCACCTACTTGCACCCTATAGCACCCATCTGCACCCCACAGCACCCATCCATGCCCATAACACCCCATAACACCCCTCTCCCGCCCCAACCCCATCCCCGCACTACAAATCCCGCACATCCCCGCGGCAGCTCCGCCTCCGTCCGCCCCGAGCCCGCCCATCCCCGCAGCGCCATGGCCGCGGCCCCGGTGGCCGAAGGGGCTCCAGCGGAGCCGCACGATAGGTAAGGACCCCAACACCGGACCCGTTGCAACCCTTCGGGAACGGGATCGCGATCGCAACGCCCCGGAGCCGCCGTTTCGGCGGCTCCGGGGCGTTGCGATCGCGATCCCGTTCCCCCCCTCCCCGATGCCACTTCCGCGTATGGGGCCTCCCCATCCCATCGCTGCTTCCTATTCCCGCACCAAACCCTCTTCTCCTTCATCCCCCCCCCCCCTTAATCCCGAGGTGCTGTTGGAGGAGCTGAAACGGCGTGTTTTCCACCCAAAACCATGTGTCTATGGTGTGTGTGTGGGGGGGAACCGGGAGCTGTGTCGGAGGCGTTTGGCACCATGGGGCAACTGAGCATCCCCTTGGGGCTAATGGTTGTGGAGTCGTAGGCACGTCACTCCATCCCATGGCTTATGCTCTTCCATCCCATGGCTTATGCTCTTCCATCCCATGGCTTATGCTCTTCCATCCCATTGCTGTGTTTCTCCATCCCATGGCTATGTTCTTCCATCCCATTGCTGTGTTTCTCCATCCCATTGCTGTGTTTCTCCATCCCATGGCTGTGTTTCTGCATCCCATGGCTATGTTTTTCCATCCCATTGCTGTGTTTCTCCATCCCATGGCTGTGTTTCTCCATCCCCTGGCTATATTCTTCCATCCCATCGCAGTGTTTCTCCATCCCATGGCTGTGTGCTTCCATCCCTTGGATGAGTTTCTATCCCAAAGCTTGGCTTCTCCATCCCACAACGTGGTTTCTCCATCCCTTGGGCACGGTCCCCATGCTGTGGATGGGTTTCTTCATCCCATGGCTATGTTCCTGCATCTCATGGCTGTGTTGCTGCATCCCACAGATCAGTTACTTCATCCCATGGCTGTGTTCCCCTATCCCATGGCTGTGTTCCCCTATCCCATGGCTGTGTTCCTCTATCCCGTGACTGTGTTTCTCCATCCCTTGGGTGGGTTCTTCCATCCCATGACTGCATTCCTCCATCCCATTCCTGTGTTTCCCCATCCCTTGGATGGGTTCCTCCATCCCACAGCTCAGTTTCCCCATCCCATGGCTGTGTCCCTTCATCCCTTGGGCAAGTTCCTCCATCCCAACACCTAGGGCTTCCTGGAGCCTTTCCTTATGCACATCATCCTCTCTGGCCTGGCTTGCTCACAGGGTGCTGGGATCCATCCCTGTCTCACCCAGATCCCTGCACGGAGGGTTCCTGGTTTGGTGCCACCAGCAATATATGGCTTATAGGGACCAAAATGATCCTTAAATCCCAAGGAAAGCCCAGTGAGCAGCTTCCCATCACCTTTAGGATAAGGGGACCCAGCCTTTGTGCTGGCTTTCCTATTTCTCCCAGTTTTAAGCCCAGTTCCTGGAGGCTGCAAATAGAAAGGACGGATTTGTGCTTAAAAATCATCTAGAAGGAAAAAAACATCCAAAACCCGGGAATTTTGGCCTGTGCAGGAGCTCAGAGATGTGAAAGGGAATTGGGAAGCAGGGATTTACAGAGGAGCTCATGCCAGGAGGGGGGGCTCGCTCGCTGCTGGGGTTTGGAGCCAGTGCAGGAGATTCCCATCCCTGTCTGGGATGTCGGGTGAGCGCTGGGAATGCTGCTCCCATCACTTGGAGCCTTGGAACAAAGGCAGGAAAAAGGGCTCCGGGGAGCGTGCGATAAGGAACAACAATGCTCCCGGCCTCCAGGCTCCTTGTCCCTTGTCTTTCGCTTCTTCCGTGAGAAGGAATGGGAATGGCTTCCCAAGGGAATTGCGTTCTTGGACTTCTGAAGGAGCTTTCCCAGGGGAAGGGGGAGCCCGCGTGAAAGCACGGATGGGAAAAGGTTCCTTTGGTCATCGCTCGCTTCGCTGCTCCCATCCTCATCCCGCTGCTCCTGCAGCCCCTGCTGAGGGACCAGCCCCTTGTCCCTGGGTGCTGCTCTCCTCTGGGGTCCTGCCGGAGCAGGAAGGGGCTGGTGCCCCCCCGTGTTCAGCAGGGGTTTGCTGAGGACAGCGGGATGCAGCACGTATTCCCGGCCTCTGGAACACGAGGAAGAGGAGGAAAGGGTTTTCTCCCCGTTTTAACCCCATCCGCAGGCGTTCACCTCTGCTGGATGCTGACAGTGGGGAGCATCCTCCCCATACCCGCTCACGCTGGGTGCGCTGGGGCTGAGCTCTCACCTCACTGTGCCAGGGCTCGTTTGGGGACCACAGGACCTTGTCCTGTGTGTTTTGGGGCGTCCTCCACCACCTCCTCTTTGTCCCGGGATCCAAGCGCTCCGTGGTGGCGGCTGCTGTGCCTCAGGAGCCTCTGCCACGGTGCCAGAGCATCCCAGCCTGGTTTGGGTTGGAAGGGACCTTAAAGCTCCTCCAGTTCCATCCAGGGACCCCTTCCACTGGAGCAGCTTGCTCCAAGCCCCTGTGTCCAACCTGGCCTTGAGCACTGCCAGGGATGGGGCAGCCACAGCTTCTCTGGGCACCCTGTGCCAGCGCCTCAGCACCCTCACAGGGAAGAGCTTCTGCCTCAGAGCTCCTCTCCATCTCCCCTCGGGCAGGTTAAAGCCATTCCCCTTGGCCTGTCCCTATGGGGTCTCCATCCCCACCCTGCCTGTGCCCAGCTCTGGGTGCTGCTGGCACTGGGTACTGGGCTCCCTGCCCTGCCTGGCACAGGGAGAGGACGCAGGGGGGAGCTCAGCACCCAGCAGGACGTTATTCTTAGCCCGGGAGTGTTGAGTTTCACCCACTTGTTTATCCCAGGGACGAGGGGACGTGTGGGGCAGCTCTTCCCTTGGGAGCTGAGCTCCGGTGGGGGGGTGCCCCACATAGATCTCCCTCTGCTGGGATCTATGGGAGTGGGATAAACCCTGCTCCAAACCCCACCCCAGCAGCACCCTGAGCCTCATTGGGCTCCATAGGCTGGATGTGGGGTGCTGGTGGGAGGCCCCCCCTCCATCCCCACCCCTCACTGTCCCCCCCTTCAGCCTCCTCCTCCTCCTCCCTGTTCCCCATAGCCACGCACTCACCGGCCGGGGGGGGGGGGGGGGGCAGCGCTGTCCCCACAGAGCCCCCCACATCCAAAGGGAGCTGCGCGAGCCCGATCCCGGGATGCAGAGGCGCAATGGGGGGGGATTGGTGTTTATTGCCCTGTGCAAAGGGCGGCGAGGGGAGGTGTCAGCTCACCCCCCCACACCCCCCCCCGCTTTGTCTTTAATCAAGCCAGTGCTATTAATATCAGGTAATGAACGTAATCTGGGGTTAAGCCATCCTCTAATGCGCGCTGGCCGCTGCACAGCCACAGCAGCGACGCTCCCCCCGCAGCCTCCTGCCTCCTCCATCTCCCATCCCTGACCCCCCCCGGAGCTGCTGGCACTGGGGGGGGGGGGTCTGTGCCTGTCCCCGTGCCTTGGGGACCCTCCTGTGCATGGCTCCGTGTGCTGAGGGTCACCAGGGACCCCCCGTTGTCCCCTGGCACCGGTAGCAGCAGGAGGTTGGGGGCCGGGGGTGACCCCCTTAAGCCCTGCTGGGGACATGAGCAGCCCCCCCGCCTTCTCCAGTGTCCGCATTTCGGGGTGCTGGGCCCTCGGCACGGACGGTGGGTGAGTTCCTGCCTTGGTTTTTGGGGGGGGTTCTGGTGTGTTTCACCCCTTTGCCGTCAGTCCCTGCGTGCTGGAGCCAACCCCATGTCCTGGTCCTGCTTCCCTGCAGGCAGCAGCCGAGGGAAGGATCAGCTTCCCATGGGACATGGGGTGAAGGCGGTCTGGTGCAGGGGCTCTGTGGGGCATTTGGAGGGGTGGGTGCGTGGTTGGTGCTTATGGGGTGCAGGGATGAGGATGGGCTCTGCTGTTTGCTTCCAAGCTCACGTCTGGGGCTTTGCCGTTTTCCCTATGGGATCTGTTGGGACCTGCTGCTTTTCCCCTTCACCCGGCATGGATCTGGGGTGCTCGGGGTTGGAGGGCGGTGGGATGCAGGGAGATGTAGCATGGAGGGCACAGGGATGGGAGCGCAGTGGGAAAGGGGAGAGCGGTGCCTCTCTCACCCCAGTAAATCCACGCTTGGGTTGAGTGGGAGCAAAACGCGTCCCTCAGACCCCACCACTGAGCATCCCATGGGATCAGGCTTCCTCCTGGCACCCTCCAGCAGGTACAGGGAGGGCAAAGGGTCCAGGGTAAGGGGCTGGCAGCCAGGAAGGCTTCACGGGAGAGGGGTTACAAAGCCTAGGAAGATGCTTCCTTCACATGCACCTTGCTGGGGGTGCTGCTGGTACCCAGGGGTGTGCTCTGCTTGGGGAGGGTCTGCATGGGGCAGGGAGCATCCTTTGGGTAAAGCAACAGCATTGACTGCCTATGTACACAGAGAGGCCCTTCCTTGGGGGGCTCTACTTGCAGGCAGGGGGCATTGCATGGGTTTTGTGGCTGATAAAGCAATAGGAAGGGGCCAAGCGGGATGGTTGGGATGAGCCGTTCCTTGGGAGGGGAGGAGAGGCCCTTCCTGGCAAAGGCAGGCTTGGGAAGCATCTGCCATGCTTCCAGTGTAACATTAGGAGAAAGTGACCTTTGCAGCCCCACAGGCTCCCCACGGCCCGGCTTGTCTGCCATAGATCATGGGCAGGGCTGGTTGGGGGGGTAGAGTATCCATGTCTTGTATAGGGAGGGATGGTGCGGACAGGGACCTGTGGTGGAAGTCCTGAAGTGTTTGGGTAAGGGGCAGAGCCTGGGAGCCATTGGAATGGGGAAGAGGGGAGACTGGGATGAGCTCTGAGGCAGAAGCTCTTCCTGTGAGGGTGCTGAGGCGCTGGCACAGGGTGCCCAGAGAAGCTGTGGCTGCCCCATCCCTGGCAGTGTTCAAGGCCAGGTTGGACACAGGGGCTTGGAGCAAGCTGCTCCAGTGGAAGGGGTCCCTGCCCATGGCAGGGGTTGGGGCTGGAGGAGCTTTAAGGTCCCTTCAACCCATCCCATTCCATGAGGAACGCAGAGGAGCAAACCCAGACCGGGTGTTCCAGTCTCCCACCAGCAGCGCAGAGGCACCGTTCGCTGTCCCCATCACTGGGCTGACATCAGCCGCCGGTGCAGGCAGGCGTCGTTTTGGCTCGATGGAAGCAGAGGTGGCACAAACACAGTTGTTTACCAGGAAATAAACCGTCTCCTCTCACCCGTGTCCCTGCCCCTCTCCTGGGAACGCGCCTGCTCCAGAGCCTGGGGCTGCTCAGCTGGATTTCCTCTGGGAATGCTGCCGGGCTCCATGAGACAGGCGAGCGCTGCGGGATGCTCCGCGCTCCGGAGTAAGCACTGCCAGGGATGGGGCAGCCACAGCTTCTCTGGGCACCCTGTGCCAGCGCCTCAGCACCCTCACAGGGAAGAGCTTCTGCCTAAGAGCTCCTCTCCATCTCCCCTGGGGCAGGTTAAAGCCATTCCCCTTGGCCTGTCCCTACATCCCTTGTCCCAAGCCCCTCTCCAGGTTTCCTGCAGCCCCTTCAGGCACTGGAGCTGCTCTAAGCTCTCCCCTTCAGGAGCCTTCTCTTGTACAGGCTGACCCAGCCCAGCTCCAGAGCAGAGCTGCTCCAGCCCTTGCAGCAGCTCCTTGCCCTCTGGGCTGGCTCAAGCAGGTCCGTGTCCCTCTGAAGTGGTGGTTGGGGTGCCCAGGGCAGGGGCAGGAGCTCAGCAAATCCCAGTGAATCCCTGTGTCCATGCCGGGGATGCGCTGGTTTGGGAGATGGGCATCTCGTGGCGGTGGGATCCTGCTTGGTCAGAGCAGTAGATATCATGATGTATATCAGGACATACATCTTGGTCAGAGGTATCCCATCCCGGGATCCCATCCTGTACAGATGGCTGCTCCCAAATCTTCCGTTTTATCTGAAATCACCCTAAAAAAGGCTGGGGGGAGGGAAGGGAATTAACCTCCATTCCAAACAGGCTTAAACCCAACCCCGAAGCTGCAAAGCCCTGCGCTTTAAGCCCTGTTAAGAGCAAAAAGCCCCACAGAGCTGTACCAACCCGTGCCGGGTTTGGTGCCCATGCTCTGACCTTGCATCGGTTTCACTTCCAGCCCTGTCGTGGATGGGCAGAGGAGCTGTGTGAGCAAGGAGAGAGCCCTTTGGCCCTTCTCATAGGGAGGAGACAGCCCTTGGTGAGCAGGGGAGGAGCAGGAGGTGGTGTAAATAACACCCCCCCTCCATGCCCCTGCTTATCTCCTGGCCACCTCCCCGCTGCTGCTGTCCCATTGCCAGGCTGGAACGGGCTCCGCAGGGTGCTCTGTGCCTCTCCCTTCATGGGGCTGTGGTGGGAGGGGAGATAAGAGGGAGGCATTCCGGGCTCTGCAAGCACAGCAAAGCGGCTGTGAGGGGCTCAGCACCCCTTAGGTTCAGGTCTAAAGTAGGGGGGGAATTAGAGGTTTTGGTGGGGATGGAGTGCGCCGAGTGGGGAGCGCTTGTGGGGTGAGGGTGGGTGAGCTGGAGCTTGGGTGTTTGGCTTCCAGCCCCCAGGAGGGACCCTTAGTGCGTCAGGGCAGGTGATTGCCCCCTGTAACAGCACCCGTCCGTGCTTTAGAGAGCTCACTGGTGTGTTCATCTGACATTGATGGTCCCCGAGCAGCAGGGCTGCAGGAGGGGATGCTGGGGAGGGACTCTTCATTAGGGACTGCAGTGACAGGACAAGGGGTAACGGGTTCAAACTGAAACAGGGGAAGTTTAGATTGGATCTAAGGAGGAAATTCTTTCCTGTGAGGGTGCTGAGGCACTGGAATGGGTTGCCCAGGGAGGTTGTGAATGCTCCATCCCTGGCAGTGTTCAAGGCCAGGTTGGACAGAGCCTTGGGTGCCATGGTTTAGTGTGAGGTGTCCCTGCCCATGGCAGGGGGTTGGAACTGGATGATCTTAAGGTCCTTTCCAACCCGAATTGTTCCATGATTCTAAGTGATGCCTGTGTTGAGCCTTTTCCAGGCTCAGCCTGGTCCTGTGTGACAATTCCATGTTTGCCATGGGATCGCGGCGGGGCTGCGCTTGCTTCTCCCCCTTTCCCATCGCATCCCTCACCCATGCAGCCTGCGGTCCCATAAAGACCCCGCAAGCCCCTTCCCCACCACTGGTAACCGAGCTCCTTCCTCTCTCCATCCCCAGCAACAGCAGCGCCGAGTCCCTGGACCGGCTGTACCCACCCGTGGGCTCCACGAAGCCCCCCCGGAAGAGGACCACGAGCCAGTGCAAGTCGGAGCCCCCGCTGCTGCGGACCAGCAAGAGGACCATCTACACAGCGGGGCGGCCGCCCTGGTACAACGAGCACGGCACGCAGTCCAAAGAGGCCTTCGTCATAGGTAGGCAGAGGCAGCGGGAGGGGATTCCTGCCCCACAACCAGGTTTGGCTCCTGATTCCAGGCCGGGGGTTGCAAGGAGGGTGCCCGTGGTCAGTGCGGCGTTGAGGGTGAGCCGTGGGGTTGAGCTTGCGGGTGGTGGTGATGGGTTACAGCAGGCACTGGGCACGCCACGCTCTGTGCTGGTTGTTCCCTCTGCTCTTGTTGTTGGGGTTGTTACGAGCTCCCCGGGCTGGTTCTGGTGCCCGCTGTCCCTTCGTTACACAGCCCTCCACTGAAAGGGTTCCCATCGCTGTGCCCACGGCCTGCAGTTACAGCCTGTGCCGCTCGGCATCTTCAGGGGTGGTCTCTGGTTTGATGCTGCCCCTCTTTGGGTGTTCCCCCAGCCCAGCGCAGCAGGGCAGGACCAGGGCTTTAGCCCCTGCTTGGGGTCGGTGCCTTCATCCCCTTTCCCCTGGCAGGCCTGGGAGGAGGCAGCGCCTCGGGGAAGACCACGGTGGCCACCATGATCATTGAGGCTCTCGATGTCCCTTGGGTGGTTCTGCTGTCCATGGACTCCTTCTACAAGGTGAGGCTGCCCTTGTCCACCCAGGCTGATCCTGATGGGAAACACAGTGTGGGTTGAGCATCAGCCTCGTGTTTTCCCCTTCAGCTGGTTCCTGGGACACGGGGAGAGGTCGCTGGGGTGGTGGTGGGAAGGGAAGGCTGCTGGTGGGGATGGCCCCGTGCGCTGACCTCTGCTCTATGGGCAGGTCTTGACCAAGCAGCAGCAGGAGCAGGCAGCCAGCAATGACTTCAACTTCGACCACCCCGACGCCTTCGACTTCGACCTCATCATCGCCACCCTGAAGAAGCTGAAGCAAGGCAAGAGCGTGAAGATCCCCATCTACGACTTCACCACCCACAGCCGGAAGAAGGAATGGGTACGGGATGCCGAGGGGCTGGGACAAGGGGGGGTGATAACCGAACCCCCCACGGCCTCAGCCCTGGATTTTGTGGGTGCATTTTGGGGATGAGCTGTCACGGATGTCTCTGACCGCGTGTTCTGTGCCTGACTGCATCCCTTTGGCTCCGCAGAAAACCCTGTACGGTGCCAACGTGATTATCTTTGAGGGCATCATGGCGTTTGCAGACAAGGAGCTCCTGAAGGTGAGGAAGGGCTTGGAGCTGCTTCTGGGGAAGCCCAAGTGCTGCAGCCCAGTACAAAGAGTCCCAAGTGTGAGACCTTGGTCTCAGCCATTCATTCCCAGCTACTAGGAGCAAGCAGGGACCTGCTCCCTGGCAGTGGTTGTGCATACATAAGGAACCCACCTCCATGCTGGGTGCGTGCACAGCCAGAGGCAAAGCTGCCGTCCTGCTGCACGAAGCCTGGTGTTCCTTTCCGGGGCTTTCCTGGGAATCCTGTGGATACCCGAGCAGTGCTGCAGGAGCAGGGAGCAGGGCACCCTTGGCTCAGCTCATCCAGGAGGTTTCCTCCTTTCCAAGCTGTTTGGGTTGCACTTTCCTGGAGCAAGGATGACCTCCAGTGGACAGCTGGGAAAATCAGTTCCTAAGAGCATCCCTGCTCTTGTCTCATGACTGGGGGCAGTGGCATGAGCTGTGCTTGGCTCCCTGGGTTATGAGTGTTATTCCCTTGTCTCCGCCTTGCTCTTTAATAGCATCCAGAGGGTCGGAGCTGCTTGGATGCGGCGATGGGGTTTGGGGGAGGACAGGGGTCAGGCGCTGCAGAAGCAAAGGTTCCCAAGGCGAATCGGAGCTGAGCTCTGTTAGAGCTGCTCATGGGGCTCAGAGCTCAGGTTGTGGCTGGGGGAGAAAGAAGCTCTCTTTGGGTTACCCATCGAGCATGGTGGTGATGGTGGTGGTGGTGGTGGTGGTGGTGGTGGTTGTGGTGATGGTGGTGATGGTGGTGATGGTGGTGGTGATGGTGGTGGTGGTGATGGTGGTGGTGGTGGTTGTGGTGATGGTGGTGGTGGTGATGGTGGTGGTGGTGGTGGTGATGGTGGTGGTGATGGTGGTGGTGGTGATGGTGGTGGTGGTGGTGGTGGTGGTTGTGATGGTGGTGGTGGTGGTTGTGGTGATGGTGGTGATGGTGGTGGTGGTGATGGTGGTGGTGATGGTGGTGATGGTGGTGGTGGTGATGGTGATGGTGGTGGTGGTGATGGTGGTGGTGGTGGTGGTGGTGCTGATGGTGGTGGTGGTGGTTGTGGTGATGGTGGTGGTGGTGATGGTGGTGGTGATGGTGGTGATGGTGGTGGTGATGGTGATGGTGGTGATGGTGGTGGTGGTGGTGGTGGTGCTGATGGTGGTGATGGTGGTGGTGGTGGTGGTGGTGATGGTGGTGATGGTGGTGGTGGTGGTGGTGGTGCTGATGGTGGTGATGGTGGTGGTGGTGGTGGTGGTGATGGTGGTGATGGTGGTGGTGGTGGTGGTGGTGGTGGTGATGGTGGTGATGGTGGTGGTGATGGTGATGGTGGTGGTGGTGGTGCTGATGGTGGTGGTGGTGGTGATGGTGGTGGTGGTGATGGTGGTGGTGTGGTTCGTTTCATTCCCCTTTCAGCTCCTGGACCTGAAGATCTTCGTGGACACGGACTCCGACATCCGCCTGGTGCGGCGCCTGCGCAGGGACATCAGCGAGCGCGGCCGCGACATCGAGGGCGTCATCAAGCAGTACAACAAGTTTGTGAAGCCCGCCTTCGACCAGTACATCCAGCCCACCATGCGCCTGGCCGACATCGTCGTCCCGCGAGGTACCGCGTCCCTGTGCCCGCAGCGCCGCTGCGCCAAAGGGAAGGCCCCTCCAGGCTTCAGGAAGAGATCCCCTAAATACGTATTTAGTAATCTTATTGTTATTTTATTCATTATTAGTATTTTTTCTTTTATTATTTTTATTTCTTTTTTAATTTATTGCTCAATCGAAGCAGGAATGTCTCCTGCTTTTCCAGGGAAGGCGTCTTTGGGGAAGCAGGGTAAGGAGAGGGTCTCAACACAGAGTGGGACTTCTTAGAATCCCAGCCTGGTTTGGGTTGGAAGGGACCTTAAAGCTCCTCCAGTTCCAACCTGGCCTTGAGCACTGCCAGGGATGGGGCAGCCAGGGCTTCTCTGGGCACCCTGTGCCAGCGCCTCAGCACCCTCACAGGGAAGAATTAGATCCTAATATCTAAACCTGTGGAAGAAACCTGTTCCAGGCACTGCTGGCTCCGTGTCCTGACCGTGTCTCTTTTGCTTTTGGTTCACCCCAGGCAGTGGAAACACGGTGGCGATCGACCTGATTGTGCAGCACGTCCACAGCCAGCTGGAGGAGGTAAGATCTGCCTGGTCCTGTGGTGCTCACAGTGGTGCCGCTGCAGGAGGCAGTGCTCTGGGTGCCATGGTCATGCTTTGGCTTCCTCCTGTGCTCCGGATGTGTGAGCACGGTGCTGTCCCCATGCACTCCTCCCAGCCCTGCTCCCTGTGTTTCAGGGGAGGAGGCTGCCTTCTCCCTGTGCTCGGGTTAGTGCAGGGCTCCTCTGGGCCAGCACCAGATTCCTGCCCTCCTTTGGAAGCAGGTCATCTGGGGACAAACCAGCCGTCCTCCAGTGGTGGGAGTGATGTGATGTACCTGCACAGGGAGTGATGTACCTGCACAGGGAGTGATGTACCTGCACAGGAAGTGATGTACCTGCACAGGGAGTGATGTACCTGCACAGGGAGTGATGTACCTGCACAGGGAGTGATGTACCTGCACAGGAAGTGATGTACCTGCGCAGGGAGTGAGGTACCTGCATAGGGAGTGATGTACCTGCACAGGAAGTGATGTACCTGCACAGGGAGTGATGTACCTGCACAGGGAGTGATGTACCTGCACAGGAAGTGATGTACCTGCGCAGGGAGTGAGGTACCTGCATAGGGAGTGATGTACCTGCACAGGGAGTGATGTACCTGCGCAGGGAGTGAGGTACCTGCGCAGGGAGTGAGGTACCTGCATATGGAGTGATGTACCTGTACAGAGTAGTGATGTACCTGCATAGGGAGTGATGTACCTGCATAGGAAGTGATGTACCTGCACAGGGAGTGATGTACCTGCACAGGGAGTGATGTACCTGTACAGAGTAGTGATGTACCTGCACAGGGAGTGATGTACCTGCACAGGGAGTGAGGTACCTGTACAGAGTAGTGATGTACCTGCATAGGAAGTGAGGTACCTGCATAGGAAGTGATGTACCTGCACAGGGAGTGATGTACCTGCACAGGGAGTGAGGTACCTGCGCAGGGAGTGAGGTACCTGCACAGGGAGTGATGTACCTGCACAGGGAGTGAGGTACCTGCACAGGGAGTGATGTACCTGCATAGGGAGTGAGGTACCTGCATAGGAAGTGAGGTACCTGCATAGGAAGTGATGTACCTGCACAGGGAGTGATGTACCTGCACAGGGAGTGAGATACCTGCATAGGAAGTGATATGCCTCCCTGCCTGCAGCCGTCCCAGAGCCAGCATCACCCCAAACCCTGCAGTACTTCAGTCTCTGGCTTTTCCTCTTCACCCCCTTGCAGACACTGCTGCAGTCTTGCCAGTCAAGAGCCCACTTTCCCACTTCTGCGTGGGTACAGCCCATGGGTTTCAAACCCCAAAGTCCCATCATGTTTGACACGCAAGCCCTGCTCCACGCACATGCTCCATCACTGGCTTTAAGAAGTCATCTTCTGGGGGTCCTGGGCCACTCCTGACCAGTGGTTTGAGCCTGGGGCCATTGATCACTGCTGTTGTTTGATCAATGGTGTTGCTGTTCCCTGAGCAGCAACACCTGCCCCATGTCTGTAGCTTGGATGTTTCAGTGGTGGAGGTGCTCAGAGCGATGGAGGGAGCACGACCTGGAGTCGGAAGCACCTGGAAGTAGTAAAGGGCCTGATTCCTGCAGGGCTTTCTGAGCCCCCAGGCAGCAGGAGCCACTTGGATGGGAGCTGGCAATGGCAGCATCGTGCTTCCCAAGGCCTCAGGGTTAGGCAAAGGCATCTTGGCAGGACCCCATCCCGGAGCATCCCACGCTCCATAGGGCTGCGGTTGGGACCTTCCGGCTGCCCGGAGTTACAGCACTGAGATCTGGCAGGTTGGGAAGCTGGCTTTGAAAGTCTAGGTCATGGGAGCAGGGAGCAGAGCCCCACTGTTGTCACTAGCACCGGGATGAGGAGGGCACAGGCCAGGAGATGGGCAATGGATGTTTCACCCATCCTCTGGCTGGACACCGCAGCCAGCAAGCGCAGCAGCTCCTCGCCAGGGTGCTGCTGTGAGGGGTTGGCTCGGGGGGGCTTTCATTTACCTGGGGAGGGGAAGAAGGGGAAAAGGCTACCTGGGAATGCAGGAAAATATTCCTATTTCTCCTTTTCTTTTGTCTTGAATCGCCCCTGGTGTTGACAATGCTTAATACCGGTTGCATTGTGTCTTTGTGTTGCTGCCGCAGCGTGAACTCAGTGTCAGGTAAGAGCCCCTAACTCTGTCCTGTCTGTGCAGCCAGAGGCATTTCCAATGCCAGGCACTGCTTGGCCTAACCCTGACCTGCAGTCGAGACCGAAGCTGCCTTGTCCTTGTCTTTGGGACCAGCAGGGACAGGGATGTCCCATAGGGATGTATTCATCCTGCAAGGGTTGAGCCTTGAAGGTGGGGCAGGACCAGGTTTGTGAGCTGGGGACCCCCAAGAGGGGAGGTTTGCATCCTGGGATTCTCTTCTATTTCCACCATCAGAGCCATCCTCCATCCCTGATGGTTAACCACCATTAACCATCAGTTAATAGATTAACCAACGTGGCTCGAGGGTGGCAGGAGCCCTGGATCCCTGCTGCGTGCAGAGATGCTCAGCTCCAAGCCTGACTCCCAGCTTCAGCATGGAGAGAGGTACCCGCTTCCCTGCAGTGCCCAAAGGCCACGCAGCAACTGCCTGGGGACCACGAGGGCTCTTGGGCCCTGATCCAGCAGGATTCCTAATTTGGCAGTGTCTGTGGATGGATGCTATAAAGTACACGCTGACTGACTCAGCCTCTTCAGTGCGGGGATCCAGATGGGGCTCCAGCTCTCTTGCTTCCAGGTGTTTCTGTAGGGAGCAGAGGGGATGCATTACTGCAAATGGGTTTCCATTTAGATTCCATCGCTGCACGGAGACACTCGAGTAACCCTAAAATTCACATGGGCCATACAAGAAGCTTTTAAAATACCTGAGATGAGCAGGAAAGGGCTTGACTTATTCCTGCTGCAGCCTGGGTGCTTTGTTTTACTGCTGCTGGCTTGTCTGACCCCAGCACGGGGCCTGACGTTTACATACAGACAGTGAGAGCCTTCCTGAGTGTCTGCAGGTCCAGGTGGGAAGGTGCTCTTCGGGATGGAGAGGAGGCTGGTGCTTTAAAAAGGGCAGGGGTAACATGAAGAGGGTAGATGGATGTGTGTGTGTATGTATATATGTGTATATATATGTATATATGTATGTATATATGTATACATACTTGTGTTATATATATACACATATATGAAATTCCTTTCTCTCCAGTGATTCTCCTCTCTAATCGAAGTGCACTCAGTACAGGTAACTTTTTGGTGCACCTTAAATCAGGTATATGATAACATAGAATCACAGAACAGTTCGGGTTGGAAAGGACCTTAAGATCATCCAGTTCCAACCCCCCTGCCATGGGCAGGGACCCCTCACACTAAACCATGGCACCCAAGGCTCTGTCCAACCTGGCCTTGAACACTGCCAGGGATGGAGCATTCACAACCTCCCTGGGCAACCCATTCCAGTGCCTCAGCACCCTCACAGGAAAGAATTTCCTCCTTAGATCCAATCTAAACTTCCCCTGTTTCAGTTTGAACCCGTTACCCCTTGTCCTGTCACTGCAGTCCCTAATGAAGAGTCCCTCCCCAGCATCCCTATAGGCCCCCTTCAGATACTGGAAGCTGCTCTGAGGTCTCCACGCAGCTTCTCTTCTCCAGGCTGAACAGCCCCAACTTCCTCAGCCTGTCATACCGAATAAGTACTGGTAGTGTCAGGATAACAAGTTTGGAACGGGAGCTCTGACCTGCACAAGTAACTCTGGGGTAAGCACGGCCACAGTTTTATATCCTAAAGCTCAGGGTTTTATTTGTGCCTATGCCGTGAAGTCTGGGAGGAAAATCCCTGCAAAACCCAGTCTGTTTTCACTCCTGGAGTCCTTGTGCTGTGCTTCCCCATCAGCTCCTCTGCGCTCCCGACAGGAGCGAGGTGGATGGAGACGCGCTGAAGCGAGATGCGCTTGGCAAACACGGGCCTTTCATCTCGAGCAGTTCCCTGTGCTCTTGTCCTGGATGGCTTCATCTAAATGTCAGAGTTGTTGTTCCGATGTCACCTCCTTTTGGTGGCCCTGGGGACGCAGTGAGGCCTTTGCAGCTGGTGGAATAAAACCTGGATGCTTGGGTCTGCTCCCAGTCCCAGGTGCTTCTCTGGTCCTTGCGCTCCTGGCTGCCTCTCCTGACCCGGAGCGTGGCTGGGACAGGCAGGGAGCTCCTCTCCCTCCTTCCCAGCTGATCAAACGGGTGAATTCCAAGCAGTTTAATGGTGCCATTTAAAGACCTGTTCTCCTCCTGTAATCATTGCCTGCTGAGGAGCATCCTTGCCCTCCTCGGTATTCCCCCAGAGCACAGGTCAGACCTGGGTGTCCTGGCAGCTGGGATATTGTTTCCCAGCTTCCCACATGTTTAACCATGTCATTACGTGCAGGCCCTCCCTCCCCATCCATGCCCAGGTGAGTATTTCTCCTGGAGCAGCCCTGCCACCGGGACACAGCGCTCCCAGCCTGGTCCCATCCCTCCTGCACTATTACAGCAGCCAGCCCAGCTCCCGGGGCCGGAGCTGGCTTCAGCCCATTCCCCTCTCCCATCACTATCCCCCCCCCACCTCCCAAGCTCTGGATCAGCTTGGCGTGCCCTTTGCCGGTTGTGTCTTTAAATACCAACCCGTGGCACAGTTTAATAGCCCTTGTTTGAAATGTCAGCCCTGAAAGCCAGCCGCTGTGCCTGTTTGAAATGCCTTGACTGCATTAGCTCCTTTGTCGCTGGATGCCTCTTGTCTGCTTCCTGCTTGACAGCGTGCTCAACAAAGAGCCGAGGATGTTCCCTGAAGCCTTCCTAAGAGATGGGCTCCCCTTTCTCTCCTCTCTTTCTTTCTTTTTTCTGGCTTTTTTTACCTTCAAAGCTTTTGTTCTGGTGGGAGGGGGGGGGAGAAGCATCAGTTTCCGAAGTGGAACGTGTTCTTGATGTGCTCGGAGCTGCCCGCCTCAACTTTCCATTGTGGTCCTGGGGTGGGGACAGGAAGCATCACTCTCAAACCAGGCTGTCTGCAGGTCCTGGTGGCAGCGACCTGCTCCCTCCATCCCTGCCAGCGCGGCTGGATGCGGGGTATCACCGCAGGGAGCGCGGTTATAGAGGGGTGACTGAGCTCTTCTCTCTGCCTCCATCATCTCCAAGGGATGGTGATGCCGGGGCAGGCACTCAGGGAAGGGAGGTTTTCCTTCCCTGGTCAGAGCTGGGTTTCTCCGTGTTCCCAGTGCTCTCGGCATTCCAGGGCTGGAGCAGATCCCCTCTCCAGGACGGGGGTACCCACATGTGTTCGCATGGATGCGGGGCAGGTTGGAGGAAGGGATTGCAGCACTTCCCTCTGGGCTTTGAGAGCTGCAGCCGGGGCTGCAGGGATGGGCCAACGTCCCTGCCATGACTCCGGGGTGGTGAGAGCGGATGGAGCCAGGATTGGAGCCATGGAGAGCAGCCCTGACCCGACTTGGTCACCCAGGGAGGAGCGCTGGGGTCTGTGGGGTGATGAGGAAGGTCCAGGAGCCATAGATCAGTCGGGGCTTCTTTCCCCCCTCTGACTAATGACGGTGCTCTCTCCTTTGTTTCATGTCACGTTTGTCCCTCTCCCTTTAAACTCTCGTTGTCTCCTGTCTTGTGTCCCTGACCATCCCTCCCACCTGGGGACCAGAGGAAGCTGCGCTGGGATATGTGAGGAGACAAACGCTAACAGACAGCAGTGGTTTTGGTTGTGCCACTAACACCAGGGCTGGGGACAGGGGCTGGGAACCGCGGCACTAACCCGGGCGGGTGGCTCACGGGGTCCTGCTTTGCTGGGGCTGTGCGGAACAAACCGGGGTGGAGGGACTGGAGAGAGCATCTTTATCCCAACCCCAACGGTGGGACCGGCTGCTGTTCCCGGTGGGGATGCCCACAGCGCTAAGTGCTTCCCTGCTGTTGGGGTTGCACCCAGCACCAGTGCCTGCATGGGTGTTGTAGGAAGGGGTGGGTGACAAAACACTGGCAGCGTTCCCCATGGGGCTGTTGGTAGCTTGGGATGCAGGAGGGGTGTTCCCAGGCACCCAGGGTTGGTACCAGAGCAGGGAGCCCTCACTGGCATCAGCAGCAAGGCGCAGGAGCCGGGGCACACCGTGTCTCGACCACCGAGACCCCGCAGGAGAGGGGCTGTGATGTGGTGGGATGCCGTGACGTGGACCTGGCAGTGATGGAGGGATGCCCATGGGAAGCTCAGGGCTGTGATGGGTAGGAGGCAGCCCTATGGGGGGCTCCTCTAGTTTGGGCAACAGCGCATTGTCACCTTGGCAAACCCATCAGGGCCATGAGTGTGTGGCTCTGTGTTGGGGGGGTCAATCTCTGCCCCCCCCCAGAAGCAGGCAGCCCCATGCAGGCTCCATCCTCTACCAAAGACAGGGCTCAGATGCTCACCTGCTGCATGGTTCTGCATCCCTTGCGGGGGGGGGTCAGGCAGGGCTGTGCCCCAGCATCCATCCCCAGGCCAGGTCTGGCAGAGGGAAGGCAGGGAGCTGCCGGCAGCACATCCCTGGTGCAGGAGCATCCCTGAGGGCACCGAACCCGGCTTTGGGGACAGACAGGGAGCTCGCTCCAGCAGCAGCAGGGCCAGGGCCTTGAGGGCTGCTTGTCCCAAAGAGGCAATGGGGTTTGCAGGCAGCACAGTCCCAACACGATTGCCATGCCATGAGTGAGCTGTCACGGCTCTCGGGAGCGTTCCCTGCATCGAGGCTCTCTGATGCCACGCAGGAGCTGGCAAAAGCAAGGAGCCCCGAAGCACCCGCAGGCCTTGGGAATGTCTCGTTTGGTGCTGGTTGCCCAAGACCGGGAGATGGCTACGTGGATGGAGGCCTCAAGTCACCCAGCCCTGCCCTCCTCCATTCCTGCCAGTCATCTTCTCTGTCTTCCTCCCCGCTTGTGTGCCTCTGTGTGTGTGATTAACCCAGGTTTCTGCTTGGTTTGAGCCTCAATCACCCGGTGCTTCCGTCTGTTTGCTCCCTTCTCCTCCCAGCATCTCCCCGACCGGGATGCAGCACGTGTGTGATCTGATGTGTGGCTTTCGGACCCCAGCCCTCCTCCCAGACACAGTTGCTCGTCCACCCTGCCCAGCCCTGTAGAAGCCAAATAGATGTGACCTTCATCCCATGGCACCGCTCTCAAAGAGCGAGGTGGCTAATGGGGCTCTTGTTCCCTTGATCCAGGAATAGCTCCACTATTGCTTCTGTGGGGATGAGTCACACAGAGCCAGCCCTGGCTGGCCCTGACGGCTTGAAGCTGTTCCCAATGTGGCATCAATTCTGTCCCTGAACGGACCAGGCGCTCTCTGCAGTGGTCTCATTCCTGGCTCCGTGGCCAGCGCCGTGAGCCCGGCTCCTGCCCTGTTCGTGGTGCACATACAACCACAGCAGCCCCTCCTCACCCCATCAGCTCAGGACCCACCAGGGAGCGGGAGAAGGGTTTGATTTTACCTTCCCCTTTCTTCCCAATGGATGCCCAGCGGGAAGGGCAGGTCCTTGGTGCACGGGGTCCCTGTGGCTCCACCGACCACCATTCCCGGGAGCAGGTCCCTTTGCCATTGCAGGGCTGGACGGCCTCGGTGTGCGTTTGCAATGGGAGGATGGCTCCGGCCGTGCGCTCTGCCCCAGCCTTGCCCGGGCACCTCCTCATCCTGTGTTTGCTTTCCAGGGCCGCCCTGGCCTCTGCCCATCAGTGCCACCCCCTTCCTCAGACCCTCAGCGTGCTGAAGAGCACCCCTCAGGTGAGGGGCATGCACACCATCATCAGGTAAAGCCCCCGCCGCCGTGGCTGCCCCGGGCTGGGATGGGGCTGGTGCTTTGGACTCCCACATCCACCCTGGGGACGTGGGACAGGGCAGCGGTGGAGGAGCTGTGCTGAGAGCGCTCCGTGGCCTTGGCAACAGCTTTCCTACCACTGCGATGCGCATGGGTCCCATGCAAACAAGGCTCTGGGCAGGGGTTGACCTCGTCCACACATCCCTGGCTCCGGTCTGCAGCTCACGGTGCCTTTCCCTCCCCTCTAGAAACAAGGAGACCAGCAGGGACGAGTTCATCTTCTACTCCAAGCGCCTGATGCGGCTGCTGATTGAGCACGCGCTCTCCTTGCTCCCGTTCCAGGTGGGTTCAGGGCTGTGGCTGGGAGGCACCAGGCGCTGTGATTCCTCTCCCATTCCTGACCTGTAACTGCCGGGGAGCTGGGGTTGTCCTGGTGCTTCTCCTCCAGCCTTACCCCATGTACCAGCCTTTTCCTCGCGGAGTGGAATAAGGCTCCCCTTGGCCACGGCTCCGGGTGCCTCCTCCGAGAGCCACATCAGCCCGTGGTAACACTTCTCACCTGGCTTTTGTAGAGCTGCACAGTCCAGACCCCTCAAGGACAGGACTACGAAGGGAGGACGTACAGTGGGAAGCAAGTAAGTGGGAGCAGAAAGTACTGCTGGGACCAAAAAGCCCTATCTCAGACCACTGGAACTCGATCTTTAAGGTCCCTTCCAACCCAAACCGCTCTGTGATTTATGATTATAGCCCATGGGGTTGCATCAAAAGCAAGGGCAGCCTGGGGCTTCCATCAGGCCTGGGTTAGGTGTTTGCTCTCCTGCCTATGGTTGGTGGCCAAGGTGCCGTCAGCAGCATCCCTGTGCCGCTGTTGCCTTCGCACTGAGGGAAGCGGGACTGACACAGCCCCCTTGGAAAGGCTGTGCTTTGGGGTTGCCCATGAGACACCCACACCCCCCCCCCCCCCCAGTGCCATATGGGTGCTGTGCAGCTCCCAGCCCATCCCTGTGCACTGCAGATCACCGGGGTGTCCATCCTGCGCGCGGGGGAGACCATGGAGCCGGCGCTGCGCGCGGTGTGCAAGGACGTGCGCATCGGGACCATCCTCATCCAGACCAACTGCAACACGGGCGAGCCGGAGGTAGGGCCTTGGGGTGCCATGGGTGGTGCTGTGCGTGCCGGGGGTGACTCAGGGCTCTGCTGATGGAGCTGGTGCGGGGAGGGGGTCCAAGGGCGTGCGCCAGCGCCTGGCTCCAAGCTGGGGTCTGAGAGATGGAGATGCAGGAAGGAGGCTTCACCCCTGCAAGAGGAGGGCTTCGGGTTTGTTCCGTCCGCCTGCAGGCTCTAAGCTGCTCCTTTCCCCCCGCCCTTGCCCAGCTCCATTACCTGAGGCTGCCCAAGGACATCAGTGAGGACCACGTCATCCTGATGGACTGCACGGTGTCCACCGGCGCAGCGGCTATGATGGCAGTGCGGGTGCTGCTGGTATGGAGAACACCGGGAACGTGGCGTGGAGAGGGGGGGGTTGTTCCCAAGTAACGTGCAGAGCATTTAGATTGGATCTGAGGAGGAAATTCTTTCCTGTGAGGGTGGTGAGGCACTGGAATGGGTTGCCCAGGGAGGTTGTGAATGCTCCATCCCTGGCAGTGCTCAAGGCCAGGTTGGACAGAGCCTTGGGTGCCATGGTTTAGTGTGAGGTGTCCCTGCCCATGGCAGGGGGTTGGAACTGGATGATCTTCAGGTCCTTTCCAACCTGAGCTATTCTATGGATCTATGATTCTAACATCAGGCACGGCCATGGTGAGGGGCTTTGGGGTGAAACTGCCTCCTCCATGGGAAGGGTGGTGTGATGGGGGACAGCGCAAGCTGGGGTGACTGTAACCATGTGCTGACCAAGTCACCCCATCCTTGTGCCGTCGCTGATGGGATTTAGTTGGTTCTGTGATCAGTAACCCCAGCTGGCCACAGAGGGGAGCAGAAGATGTGGCTCCAGGAAGGCCATTGGGTGCTTGGAATGCTGCTCGCTGGAGGAGTGGGCCATGAAGTTCCACAGATACCCCAACGCGTCTCTGCCTTTATGTAGGATCACGATGTCCCAGAAGACAAGATCTTCCTCCTCTCCCTGCTGATGGCAGAGATGGGTGTCCACTCAGTCGCCTATGCTTTCCCCCGGGTGAAGATCATCACCACTGCTGTGGACAAGAAGGTGAATGACCTATTCCGGATAATCCCTGGCATCGGTGAGTATCTGGGCAGGAATGACCTGGTTTGGAGGGGGGGTTTGGTGCTTCTGGCCCGCTCACCAGAGGAAGTGAAGCCCTGGTTGTCAGCAGCACCTTAAGTGTGGTCTTATTGGACTCGGGTACCCACTGCCTCTCCTGGCTCCTGCTGCCACGTGGGTGCTGGAATCGATGCAGCCATAGCCTTGTTGGCAGAGGGAGCTGCTCCCCGTGGTCCTCCGCCAGCCCCACATGGAGAAGCCGAGCTGGGCCATGGGGAGCAGCCCTGTGCCCACCCCATCCCCTAAGCTGCCACCTCCAAACCAAGCTCCGCGTTCTTGTGCCCTCACCTCCGCTGTGCCAGGAAACCCCTGCCGACGGGAGCTCACGCGGCCTCCGGGATGCTCCGGTTCTGCTGCTGCTCGAGCTGATGGATAAACCTGCTCCTGTTCCCTGCACTGTGACCGCATCTCCCTTCCTCCCCACAGGCAACTTCGGTGACCGGTACTTCGGCACGGATGCTCCTCCGGACTGGAGCGACGATGAAGATGCTCTCAGCACTTAGCTGGCCGGGCAGCTTCAGCACCGCACCTTAACCCCTTCAGCCCCCTCCTCACCGAGCAGAGATATTTTTTTGCAGCTCTTACATTGGAGATGTAGGGCCTATTTTTTCAGAGAACACAGATCCTGGTTTGTGCCCCAGCGTAGAGCGGAGGTAATTTATTTTAATTTAAATACTTGCCCATAGATAACTTATTGCAGAGGTTTTATAAAGGAAAAGAATAAATTTTTCTCTCTGGTTTCTCTTGTATGGAGCTGCTCCTCGTCACTTCCATCCGGGATCCGCAGCCCCCAGCTCCTGGTTGCTTCTCCTCAGGGAGCACTGAGGCTCTTACACCCCAGCGAGAGCCTGTCTATGGGATGCGCTGGCTCTGCCTGCTGCTCCCGAGGCAGGGAGGGAGCCTCCACCTCATGGGAGCTGATGGGAGCAGAGAGCTCCCCGCTACCCCTCTTCAAGGGCAGGGTAACCCCCCTCAAAAGCCCCCTCTCCCATTCCCCAGCTCCCTCCTCTCACTGCCGTACACCAAGGAGGCAATACCGTGCCCTAGGTCCAAGAGACGAGCTGGTACCAGCTCACCGCGGCTGCAAGGAAGCTGAAGTTCAGCTCAGATCACATCACTCACTAGCTTAAGCAGCACCCAGTCCCTGCTCCGGTTCAGCAGCCGAAGTGCATCACATCTCACCCCAGCAGCAGCTTGCTCATCCCGAACCAGAGCTGCTCAATACACGGTGGGCAGCAGGAGCATCTCCTGGTGGTCTCCAGGAAGCTGTAAGCAGGCTTAAGGAGGCTTTGACACCAATGCAGCATCCCTGTGCCAAGAGGAGCATCGGGGTGGCTCCGGAGGGGTTTGATCCGTCAGGAGGAAGGGGGATGTTCTCCTTGCCCACATGCAGTGACCCGGGGGTACCTCGGTGTGGGCTCAGGTGCGGTGAGCCCACAATAGAGACATCCTCAAGGACCCGGCTCCATGCGGGCACCCGGAGCCAGCACAGCCACAGCGGCAGCACCGGGTACGGGGGGAGCAGCCATGGGATGAGGGCAGCAGCACCGGGCACGTGGAGGAGCCCAGGGCCGGGGGCTCCTTTCTACACCGTGCTCAAGCCACCATCGTCCTCCATGCACCAAGGCCCAGCAGACCCTGCTTGAGCAGCGCCGGCAGCATCCTTGAGGGACACAAGGCCTCGTGTGGGTCTTGAGCCCTGTGGAGATCCCACAACGCTTCCTTGGAGGGAGAGGGGGGGGGAAGCAACATCCTCCATCCCAATCCACGCACCCAGACCCCTTCGAACACCGTGGATGCAGCCCCTCGTAGCAGCCCTCCATTTGTCCTCAGCAGATCTGCATCTTTCCCCAGCAGATCCCCATTTATCTCTGAAGTTCTGCACTTTTCCTTCAGCACACCTTTTTCCTCAGTAGATCCATGTATTCCCTCACCAGATCCACGTTTTCCCTTCGCAGATCCACCTTTTCCTTCAGCACACCTTTTTCCTCAGTAGATCCATGTATTCCCTCACCAGATCCACGTTTTCCCTTCGCAGATCCACCTTTTCCTTCAGCACATCCACACTTTCCCTTAGCACATCCACGTTTCATCCAGGTTTGGCCACCACGCAGCCATGCTCTGCCTCAGCAAACCCAACCCCTATGGCCGGCTGCTCCCACCTCTCAACGCGGCACCTTCCCCTCCCCTCCTTGAGGTGTCAGTGGTGACTTCGGCCCCAACCCTGTCTCTGGTGGCTTTGACCCACCCCCATCACCCTAACCCCCTGCACCACAACCATCTCTATGAGGTTCAATGTGTTTGGGACTGGTGCTGGCAGCAGCATCACATCGGAAACCCTGCGTGGGAGGGATGCAGGCGTGCTCCCCAGGCCAGCCATGCTGCTGACAGCAACACGACCTGCTCCTCCCTTACCCAGGGACCCATCTGAGGCATCAGGGGCATCCCACCGGGGCCACCGGTGCTGCCCACGGGGGTCACACCGTCTACAGTGACAGTAAATGGGGTGCTTTGTGATGCCCGCTCCCCAGACCCCGACTGGAGGCACGCACCCAGCTCCAGATCCAACTTTGCTGCCTCTGTTGACCATCGGCACAGTGCAGCACATAGGAGCATCAAGCAGGACCGCAGCTACTGTGGTCCACACATCCTCCTGCCAGGACGTGGGGACAGGGGAGGAAGGGCAGGGGGGAATAACCCCCTTTTTGTCTTATTGCACACCCAGGCGATGCCACGCTTGCAGCTCTCCCATTAAAGCAGCCAAAAAAGCCTTCTAAAGGTATTTGATGTGAGGGTGCTGAGGCGCTGGCACAGGGTGCCCAGAGAAGCTGTGGCTGCCCCATCCCTGGCAGTGTTCAAGGGGCTTGGCACAACCTGCCCTAGTGGAAGGTGTCAGTGAGCTTTACGGTCCTTTCCAACCCGAATCATTCCATGGTTCCATGATTTCTTGCCCATGGGATCGTTTACATCCCCCTACCGCAGCCGGGGGTCACCCCATCTATGCAGGACCCCCAGCCTCAGCATCACCCACAGACACAGGATGGGCTTTGTGTGACTTCCTGCCCAGCGTCCGGAGCAACCCAAACCGCATCGGGTCTGACGGGCAGCAGAGGCTCTTCACCACCACTCCCCCCTCACCAAAAATAGACCGGAGCGGTTAAAAAGAAGAAAAACCAACAAAAAAGAGAACAAAATCGGCCTGACCATCAAAGGCATCGCCCTCATCCCGAGGCGGGAGCCAAGGGAGGACAACTTTTGGGTTGCTTTTCTCTTCCTTGCAGCGGATGGGGTTGGTTTTCTTTGCAAGAGATGAAACATCCCCACCAGCCCATGGTAACCGCCTGAAGCACCTCCATTGCTGCTGCCTGCCCCCTTATGGGCTCGGTGGGGCTGGAAGGCAACGCAGGGCTCAACCAGGTCAGAACAAAGGACTCATCTTCCTTCGGAGGCTGTTTCCTATCTGCGCAGAAAGAGGCAGAACCCGTGGGCTGAAGCCTGCACTGCTCGCCCCATGGCTCATCCCAGAACGCAGCCACTCACTGCAGGAGCGGGCTGCGCTGCTGCCTCCCAGCCGAGCCCCCCCGACAGCTCCCTGCGAGGCACAATCCTGCCCCATCGCTGCACAGAAGCTTCGTTTCTGTGTTATAAACCGCGTTACAAAGCAGGGTTTGCATTGAGGACGCTGCTTTGCTCACGGGGGGGGTGCTCAGCACAAGGCATCATCAAACCAGCAGTGGAAAATGGGCTGCTCCGAAGCTGCTGCGTGAGGGGTGCTTGGGGCAGGATGCTCACAGCGCACCCGACACTGACGTCTCCGCTTGGAAACGGCTTCACCAGCCCCCGGAGCTGATTCATTGGGGACCCCCCCCCCCGGCCCCTGCCCTGAGCAGCTGCAGCAGGGAGAGAAAGGGCTGGGGAGGAGCCCGAGGAAGGGATGCGAAGCACAGGAGAAACCCGGGCTCTGCTGCAGTGGCCACGGGTCGAGCTTCCAGCGTTTGGGATTTGAAAGGGGGGGCACTCGGGAAGCTGCTCCCTGTTTTGAGACGTTTCCCCCTGGTTTGGGATGCTTATTCTTGCTCTGGGGCGTTTCTCCTTGTTTGAGATGTTTCCCCCTGGTTTGGGATGCTTCTCTCTGTTTTGGGGACATTTCTCCCTGTTTTGGGATGCTTACTGTTGTTTAGGGCTATTTCCCCTTGTTTTGGGGCATTTCTCCCTGGTTTGGGACATTTCCCCCTGTTTTGGGATGCTTCTCTCTGTTTTGGGCCATTTCTTCATGTTTTGGGATGTTTCCCCCTGTTTTGGCATGCTTCTCCTTGATTTCGGACATTTCTCACCGTTTGGGGACATTTATCCCTGTTTTGGGATGTTTCCCCCTGTTTTGGGATGCTCCTCTCTGATATGGGGCATTTCTCCCTGTTTTGGGACATTTCTCCCTGTTTTGGGACATTTCTCCCTGTTTGGGGACATTTCTCCCTCTTTTGGGACATTTCTTCCTGTTTTGGGACATTTCTCCCTCTTTTGGGACATTTCTCCCTGTTTGGGGACATTTCTTCCTGTTTTGGGACATTTCTCCCTCTTCTGGGACATTTCTCCCTCTTTTGGGACATTTCTCCCTGTTTTGGGACATTTCTCACTGTTTGGGGACATTTATCCCTGTTTCGGGATGTTTCTCCCTGGTTTGGGATGCTTCTCTCTGTTTTGGGCCATTTCTTCATGTTTTGGGATGTTTCCCCCTGTTTTGGCATGCTTCTCCTTGATTTCAGACATTTCTCACTGTTTGGGGACATTTATCCCTGTTTCGGGATGTTTCTCCCTGTTTTGGGATGTTTCCCCCTGTTTTGGGATGCTCCTCTCTGATATGGGGCATTTCTCCCTGTTTGGGGACATTTCTCCCTGTTTGGGGACATTTCTCCCTGTTTGGGGACATTTCTCCCTGTTTTGGGACATTTCTCCCTCTTTTGGGACATTTCTTCCTGTTTTGGGACATTTCTCCCTCTTCTGGGACATTTCTCCCTCTTTTGGGACATTTCTCCCTGTTTTGGGACATTTCTCCCTGTTTTGGGACATTTCTCCCTGTTTGGGGACATTTCTCCCTCTTCTGGGACATTTCTCCCTGTTTTGGGACATTTCTCCCTGTTTTGGGACATTTCTTCCTGTTTTGGGACATTTCTCCCTCTTTTGGGACATTTCTCCCTGTTTGGGGACATTTCTCCCTCTTTTGGGACATTTCTCCCTCTTTTGGGACATTTCTCCCTCTTTTGGGACATTTCTCCCTGTTTGGGGACATTTCTCCCTCTTCTGGGACATTTCTCCCTCTTCTGGGACATTTCTCCCTCTTTTGGGACATTTCTCCCTGTTTTGGGATGCTTATTCTTGGTCCAGGAGCCCTTCACAAGCCCCATGGGTGCAGATGTCTCAGCCATGCTCAGGACCACGCAGCCGCCCTGCTCTTCCCGCTGCCCTTGTGCAGGCAGAGACAAGACCCTGGCGACCAAACTGCTCAGTGCCAAGCATCAT